TGTTGTCACATATTTATGTATATATATATAAACCCATCATACACACAGAGAGAGAGAGATGGGCAGATCTCTAAAACCTTTAACTTTTGATAATAAAACAAAAATAATAAAAAATAATAGGCACACTATTTTTACACCTCCAGAATTGTGTGAAAATGTATAAAATATCAGAAAATAATTGTGAACATTGAAAATTTTGATGCCCTTATAAGTGTAAACAAAAAATTAAAATTTTCGAACTAATTTTTCTAGGTTTATATACATTTCATTAAAAATCATAAAAACGGCAAAAGTATCATTTATTTAATAAACATATAAACTTATTGAACCTATTTTTCTTTTATTGAGCAATTTTTTCTTTTTAATAATTTCATCCATATTTACCCTTTATTTTTCATCAAAAATTATTAGAATCAAAAATGATTTGAAAAATTTTAATATTAAGTTAAATTGTTATAAAATGTATAAAAAGGCTTACTTTAATTATTTTCAGTCAAAAAATATCTTCAATTAATTAAACATAGGGAAAAAACTAAGTTCTGATGTATTAAATTCAATTAATTAATCCTGAGGTTACGGTTTGACAGGGTTACGGTCTGGACAACCTAGGGAATAGATCGAAAACTTTACTGAGATGCAACGCAATGCGATGCATACAACACAGAAAATAAATTAGGCAATGACAAACGTATGATCAAAATTTTGATTGATTTTAACATTTACTTTTTAGATCTGCGTCTGATTACGGTCTTGACATTGTTACTAATACCTCACCGAATGACAATTTGTGATTATAAACCTAGAAAAATTTGTTCAAAAATTTTAAATTTTTGTTTATACTTATAAGGGCATCAAAATTTTCGATGTTCACGATTATTTTCTGATATTTTATACATTTTCATACAATTCTGGAGATGTAAAAATAGTGTGCCTATTTTATTTTTTTTTATTATCTTAAGTTAAAGGTTTTAGAGATCTGCTCATATATATAGTTAGTTTTATATGTCCAGGGGTATAAGGGCAGATTTTGTTGACCACTCTTTCAGGAGCACCATATTATGTGGGCCAACGTTCCTCTCACAATTAGGACAGATAATACAGAGAATGAAAGAAGATCCATACCTTGTCCGGGATTCGATCCCGGACCTTTCTGATGCAAGGTCAGTTTCCTGCCCCCTACACAGTCGGATCGGCAGATTAAAACATAACAATTACGAAAAAATCCGTCATACCTGTTTGCAATATTTCACAATTTGATAATCAAAAATTATAAATACCGATTTATTGCACATCACCTGCGCATTCATACCTTCATATCACTTGTGCATTCATTTTCAAAATAATGATGATTCTAAATGCTTGTTTGGTCATCTAATAAAACCAATTAGACATATGAAGAGCTTAGTGAAATACCAAAATATAAATAAGTGACATTTTTAAAAAAATTTATTTCTCGGAGAAAGTTCTTATTTTAGCTTTATTTAAATATATGCTTGCTTGCTTTAGTATACCTGTTTAGGCAGAGGGATGCGATTGTTCTTGTTTTCCAGTGGCGCCATCTATGGCTAAGAATTCGACTTCTGCCACACCATACGTCAAACCCGTTTATAGGGCGGACCCATTCATACATCCATTCATTCATTCATCCACAGATCGGAATTTTGACCTGAATCAGTGAACGATCGATCTCCAATCCAGTACCCCCAGAGGTACTGATTTGTTATGGGAACATGGAGGACTTTGCGTCTTGACAGATTTAACGTGCATCAGTCACCAATTACTGCACGGGGAGTCCTCGGCCGGCAACACAATATATTGTTTTATTCTTTAAAATATGTGTGTTATCATTCGACAAAAACTTTGGTGTTGAATCCTGGTCTAAAGACATTTTGTAAGGTTAGAATGTGGAATAATCAGAAACTGTCAAAAATTAGAGTTACAGTGTCAAAATTAAAGATTTCCACTTCGAACCCACGAACTCTCTGACATGGGCCCAGCGCCCTACCGACCACGCTATTCCGCCCATTTAAATATATAACATTCATTTATATTGCATTCCGAAGATAGTCAGTGAAAGAACCGGCTGAGAGACATAATTTGAGTATTTAGCTGATGGAAGAACCGGCTAAGTGACTTGGCGACAAATCGTCAACAAACNAAATTATAAATACCGATTTATTGCACATCACCTGCGCATTCATACCTTCATATCACTTGTGCATTCATTTTCAAAATAATGATGATTCTAAACGCTTGTTTGGTCATCTAATAAAACCAATTAGACATATGAAGAGCTTAGTGAAATACCAAAATATAAATAAATGACATTTTTAAAAAAATTGATTTCTCGGAGAAAGTTCTTATTTTAGCTTTATTTAAATATATGCTTGCTTGCTTTCGTATGCCTGTTTAGGCAGAGGGGTGTGATTGTTCTTGCTTGCCAGTGGAGCCATCTACGGCCAAGAATTCGACTTCTGCCACACCCATTTATAGGGCGAACCCATTCATTCATTCATCCACAGATCGTAATTTTGATCTGAATCAGAGAACGATCGATCTCCAATCCAGTACCCCCAGAGGTATTGATCTGTTATGGGAACATAGAGGACTTTGCGACTCGACAGATTTAATGTGTATCAGTCACCAATTACTACACGGGGAGTCCTTGGCCGGCAACACAATATATTGTTTTATTCTTTAAGATATGTGTGTTATCATTCGACAAAAACTTTGGTGTTGAATTCTAGTCTAAAGACATTTTGTTAGGTTAGAATGTGGAATAATCAGAAACTGTCAAAAATTAGAGTTACAGTGTCAAAATTAAAGATTTCCATTTCGAACCCACGAACTCTCTGACATGGGCCCAGCGCCCTACTGACCAGGCTATCCCGGCCCATTTAATTATAGTATAACATTCATTTATATTGCATTCCGAAGATAGTCAGTGAAAGAACTGCCTGAGAGAGATAATTTGAGTATTGAGCTGATGGAAGAACCGGCTAAGTGACTTGGCGACAAATAGTCAATAAACAACACTAGAAAATCTCTTGCTTGGCAGCGAACGCTAAGGCTAAACATTTGTGAAAACGAAAAACTTGAAACAGCAACTTCCATGTATAAAGGAGGCATTTGTACATATATTTTTTGTGAATAAATAATTAAAAAAAGACAAGAAAAAATAATCCTTAAACAGCTTCATCATGCAACTTTTTTTTCTGCTTCGTATTATAATTTGTTTCAGACACACTGCCCAAGTAAAAAATTTAATTTTTTTTTCAAAGCTAAGTCGCGTTGAAAAAAAATATTTTGTGCTTTGGCAGCTTTTTCATTTTATTATTATTGCTAAATCCTTGTTTTCCTTTTTGGAATAAAATTAAATAATCAATTAATCGATAATGATAACATAGCAAAATCATGTGCAAATTTAAAAAGAGATATGCAGACACAATTGTTCGGCATAATTCTATTTATTGCTCGAGACCAACTCCTGATGGTCAAAAATTACCGCAATCAACAATTTTCTCCGGGACTTATCACATTCGGTAGGTTGTAAAAAAATTTATCGTAATACTTATATTAGTGTATATAGTACATATTAAAACAGCACCAATTAACTAATATCAGTAATACCGAATATTATATTAAAATTGTAAAAAAGAAGATATGCAGACACAATTGTTCGGCATAATTCTATCGCTCGAGACTAACTCCTGATGGTCAAAAATTACCCCAATCAACAATTTTCTCCGGTACTTATCACATTCGGTAGGTTGTAAAAAAATTTATCGTAATACTTATATTAGTGTATATAGTACATATTAAAGCAGCACCAATTAACTAATATCAGTAATACCGATTATTATATTTAAATTGTAAAAAGGAAGATGGTCATCAACAATCGTTAAGATGCGTGCGCTCGCTTAAAATATTTAAGCGTTAAATATGAAATGATAAGCGTGCTTATACGTTTGACAAAATTAATAGCAACTTTTTCATGAAAATTAAATCTATATATGAATGTAACACAGTTATAGATAGTCAAACATTATTTTGCTCCCAGTTAACAGAGATTGCCGTGCATATTATACTTTGGTAGAAACATATCAGAGCTCCCTTGGCATCGGGCTGACCAAGAGAGGTTTTCGTAGTTCTTACCTCTCTTTTATGCAAATGCTGATTCATTTCACTTAAAAGAGTTCTTCTTGAAAGGTGAATGCAACTTTGTTCTTTAAACAGGTGTTCTATTGTCTTCTAGATTCAGGTGAAGGGGGGGGGGAAAGGGTGCATATTCATTGAGTTGATCAATGGCGGAAATTCGCGAAATGGTAACCTAAATTATAAAAAATGAGAATCGCGTAACTAATCATGAATGCGTAATTTTCCACGATAGGGAAAAAAAACTGTTTTATAAACAATTTTACAAATTAATATTTGTCATTTTTGAATGAAACTGCATTATTTTTTAATAAAATAAAGAATTATTTGTATTTCAACAACTATACCGATATATTTTTCATATTAAAACTTTAAAAAAAAGTACTAGGTATTTCATTTCAGAAATATCTTTAGATGTAACGAAATGGCATAACATTTCGACCACACAAAAGTTAGAATATTTAAAAGAATACTTTTTTAAAGTCAAGAATTACCGAATCCTCGCCAATTAAAGGGATACAATCTGGTGAAACATTTACTCCGCAAAAATTGAGCTCACGTTGCCTCTGAATCATTTTTGATCGCTTTTCGGACTAACAAGGCTAGAATAAAATTTTATACGAGTTTGTTCGAAATAAAGGTTGCTAAAATTTTATTCTATGAATATAAGCCTAAATAAATTTATATTTATTTTATCTTTTCAGACAAAATTATATTTGATGAAAAACATTTAAAATCGTTCGTAAAATCAAGCAAATGCTAAGCCAAAAAAAAAAATATATTATTAAAATCTTCCTTTATAAAAGAGTTAGAATGAAATAAATAGTCCCTTAAAAATTTTGTGAATCATGCCTTTACAAACATACTAAAAGCATAAAGATTAAACAAAGCAACAAACAGAAGAAATGTATAAAATTTAGTTCTAATTTACTCAAAATCTCTTTAAGTGTCGCTAAGCCGGTTCTTCCACTAAGCTCTTCATAATCTCATAAAATAAATAAGTTAAATATAATAATAAATACCCAATAGGTCACTTTTTAACATTTATTTATTATTGAAAATTGTTTAATGTAAAAAGTGCAAAAATGCCGAAAGACTCTAGAAAACAGAATTTTTATTAAAATATTCAATGTCTCCATTCAAAATTTTGAACCTTAAAAATCCATGAATTTCTGAAGGAAAGATTCATGTAGGAGTAGAGTAATTTAAGTATTCACATATTTTAAAGTTGTAATGTATACATTAAATGTATTTTGCCTCTCCAAAGATTTAACTAAATGTTGTCACATATTTATGTTATTTTTACTGTTGAATTAACTTTTTATAGCCGTATATTATTTCTAATATGGATTTTTTTTTTTAAATAAAATTTAATCTATGCAATAAAAGACCACTGCTACTAACTGAAAATTTTAATTTTCAGGTCTAATTTCAATGCTCTTTTAATTTTGATATCACTTATAGACTTATATCATATGATTGTTTCTTGTATATTATTAATTACAAATTTTGTGAATTAAATTTACGCTTTTGAGATAGTGTGACTGCTTATCACTAAAATAGGCAAAGAAATAATTATGCAGCTCTTCAAAGGGAATTAAAACTTCTTTTCGACTAAAATCTTTCGGCAAAATGAAAAGATTATTTTATTCTACTTATTTAGGTTAAAATAATGTTCAATTACATCCTAATTACTTAATTAAAATCAGTGAGAATGGATAGAAATCAGAGAAATAGTATACATTTAGTTACAGGATTGACGAAAGTATTCGGTATTGCATTAAAATGAATCAGTGTTTTCATAAATCTTGTCATTTGAAAAATATCTATCGTTACAATATATCTGCTAATGCTCAAAAATTCAAGTGGTGTAAATTAATTTTACCATATACTAGAGCTGAAGGATTTTTTTTTTTTTAAATATTTATTAATATGTTCTTTTATTACGTACTAGCCGCCAAAGGCGACCAGCTATCCGCCACGCTAAATGTTTTCACAAATAAAGTTTTTTAAAACAAAGCAGGAAGTCTGAAGATTAGTGGACAATTAAAGTGTTCCTGTCCTGCAATTTTGTCTTCATAACCAGTTCTTCTGCAGATGTGTTATGGCTCTTGAGGATGTTTTAAGATGTAACTTTGCTATGGTAACCTAAGGCCTATGGTAAAATAACCTATAATATAACTATCAGGTGGACACTCGTTTTGTTTTTTTTAGAAAAGGCCTCAGAAATTGCAAAAGCATACAAAAGTTGCATTGGCCAATAGCTGAAAATCTCTTCCATTCTTCTTTGACGTTTCTCTGATACTTCTTGGGCTCTAGAATTGCTTGTCGAAATTCGGTCATGTTCCATCCTTCTTTGACGTTCCACAGACGTTTCTTGGGCCATTCTTCTTTGAGAATCTCTTAATATCTTTTTCTTTGACAAAATACAAAGTTTTTTGGAAGGCGGTTCTGCCATGTCAGTAATCGGGCTTTTAAGAAGTCAACGAATACTTTAGAACAACAATTACTATGAAAGCAAATCATGAAACTTCAATATTAAAATCTAAGTGCTTACCTGCAAACTGAAACTTTCTGAAAATAACTAATTACATTTAATAAAAACTGTTAAAATAAAGAATAGAAAAACCAAAGAGATCCAAGGTAAGTGTGATCGTTCCTTCAAAAACAATTAAATTCCTATTTTATATATTATATAGCTACAACGCTTAAGAAAAAAAAAACTAAAATGCTAAATACATGAAAAGAACACGAAAACGAATTAATTTTTTATGGTATCAATTTCTATTTCTATATAATTTTTTATGGTATCAATTTCTATTTCTATATCGCTACAAAAATTATCGTCTTCGCTTAAAAAAAAAAAATAGAGCGTGGAAAGAAGAAGAAAAACTTATTATAACAATTATGAACAGCGACAAATATATCAAAGCGAAGCGTTCTATTTACGTATCGAATATGTTGCCACATTTTTAATACAAAAGTTAAACTTTTCTCCACTTTGATAAATGTAAACTAATGCGAACCTTACAATTAAATTATTAATTCCTTCGTATATTATTGGTTTAAGTTGTCGAAAATTAATATTTCAATTGTAAGGTTCGCATTAGCATACATTTATAAGAGTGGAGAAAAGTATATGCATTTTTTAATAGTTTTTTGAATATGGCTCTTTGAAGACGAAAAAGCATAGATTTTCTTACAAAATGACTGATAACTAAAAAACTAATCCAAATTTTTGAAAAAGAAAAAAAATACTTCATTATGTCAAAACACAATTATGTGCCGAGTTTCGTGCCTGGGCGAGGCTTCTGGGGCGATATATTGTGATTACAGACACACACACAGCCGCGTTTATTATTATGTATATAGATTAAATATTTAAATTCACAGTAATGCTCATATCTATTGTTAATATTATTCTTTGAATAAATAAGAATTTTTCTATGATTAGAAATTATACTTATTTGAAGTTTAATTGCTCTTTCTGCAATATAATATTTACTAAGTATAGTTATTGTTAATTTTATCACCTTATTTCTGCAAATTATTTGTTAGAGCTTACACAGAGAAATTCTAAAATAGCAAAATTAATGAATTGTACATTTTAATGAAAAATTTTTTTTAAATAATTGGTATCGTTGAAAAACGAATCAGAGCTTTCAAGAATCTATTCTAGTGAAAAATATCTGTGTATCATCGTCACAACCTATGTGGTAATGCTCAACATTTTTAACTTGGTTTTATTTAATTTAGCCATTTAATTTTACCCAATCATTAAGCCAAACGTTCTTGCTTCACAAAAGCTGAATAATTAAAAAAAAGAGGAAAGAAAAAAAACGTCATGCAAAAGAATAATAATTTAGAATGCGATTTTTTTTATTATTATTTATTAAATAATTGGATAGACAGTAACGCTGATATCAATTCCCAACATTTTTAATCCTCGGGTACATAGGAATGGCTTGAGTTATTTTTATAGGAATTGCTATGGCTTTTTTTATAAAATTTAGGTATTATTTCTATTTTATAGTATTTACAAATAATCAGAACTTCAGAATATATACATAGATTTGTCCTCAATTTTAAGGAATTCAATTCTGGACTTAAGGTATAAAAAAATTTTATGCTAGATTTGATTTTGAAATAAAATGCTTACATAAGGCTAATTACTATTTAAAAAATATGGTGTACCAATGTATTATAAAGAAGATTGAATTAGTTAATTACAACAAAAAAAATTTAACTATGGTACAGTACACATCATCCTCATAATAAATCTCAATAAATATAAAATTCAAAAATACATTCCTTTATAACTAAATAAAAGTAAAAATTGATTAATTTATGAATCTCAACTTGAAGTAGATATATCTCTAAAAAATACAATAATTTCAAGTGATTTTAGAACATTGTACTTTGAAATATTCATGTTCCTACCAAGTTTTACTGAATCTCAAAAAGAAAGACAAAAAACTATATTAATTTTGAGACCTTAACTTGCGATAAAATTTTCATACATCTATCTGAATTAGAACTCAATAACTCGAAATAAAAACAAAAATGTAAATAGATCTTCGTCAATTGACAAAGTTCTCTTTTTTTTCCCCTACCATTAGACAAGAAGATGTATAAAAAATAACAAAAATTTAAGAGTTTGAAATCAAAAAACTTTTTGTGCTTTTAATATATCAAGACCGTGAACCATTGAAATATTAAAAATACACATGCAAGTGATTTCGTGTAAAATTTTTAAAATAATAAAATGCTCAATTGTTTAAAAGTTATTGGTCACAAAAACCATTGCAAACTTAAAGAGAAAAATTAAATTAATAATTTTTTCAATATTGAAAATAAGTATAAATGATTAAAGAATTCATTGTTTAATATTTTTCCTTCATTTCAATCACTGTGCAAATTCATAACTCCTCATTAGAGTACAGTAGNGTTCAGATTGCGGCCGCGGGCCGCACATCGTGGGTTGGCGGGCCGCATTTGGCCCGCAGGTTGAGCACCCCTAGAGTACAGCTTTATATATTTCAAGGCTTTATATATTTCATAGCTTTATATATTTCAAGGTATAACTTTAAAGGAACACATTTTGGTAAAGAAAAAAAGAATGATGTTTTTAATAAAATAATTGGGTGGAGGGATTTTTATCTAAAATAATCTTTATTTAGAAAGAAGATTTTTAAAAAAAATTATCTTCTTTTATTATTAGCGCTCTTATAAAATTTAAATTACAGTGCCTAAATAGTTTTTTTTTTATAACCTATGCAACTTTTTTACACAATTGTGAGCAATAAATACAATGTTATTACCTTAAAACTACTGTATATATAATGTAGTATTTTAAAAACATATACACAATAAATTAATTTAACCGATTCCCCACCTAGCACAGACTGTTCTATCTCCCATACTTTTGCTTTTCTGAAACAAAGCTGTTATAGGTCAATAAGAAACTTCAAACCTCAGTTCCTACTATACAAACCTGGTTTTTTTAAATACAATATTTTTTAATGCACTGTTTGACTATTTCAGTGAAAAAAATATGCAATCAAAAACTGGTTATTATTTCATAGGAGAAAATAAATTGGGAAAAACTCGAAAGATCTATATCCTACTAAGGATTCAAAACACATGTGCAGCTTTTAAAAAATATTAAAATATAAGTTATTTTAAATAATTCCGTAACAGAATGCATTAAACTACCTTCCATACTTTTGCTTTCATGAAACAAAGCTCTTATATGTCAATAAAAAATTTCTTATCTCAGCTCATTCTTCTGTTCAAACTTGATTTCTTGAACACAATATCTTTGAATGCACTGTTTGATTATCTTAGTAACAAAGAAAGTGACATTTTTGATAATAGACGAATTATTTAACTCAACTTTTCATTATTTCACTCATTACTTAAATCATTTATTCTTTATTATTAAGTTTCGGAAAATAGGTCAAACATCAAAATATAAAATGTTATTGATATATAAGAATTTTCAAGCTATTTAAAAAAAATTTAATATAAAAAAAAAAAGTTGAAGGATTAATAAATATAACTTGGTAAAAAAAAGAGGGTAAATTTTAATAGTAAAAAGGTAATTGTAACTTAGTAAAAAAATAATAATTTCATATGCAAATGTCTCAGATAGGTTAAAAAAAAAAAAAAAAAAACGCTNAAAAAAAAAGAGAGAGAGAGAAATGAACTTGTTTTCTAGGAAGATAAGTCTTTTTCATGCTTGTGGTTATGAAAACAAAATTTTAAACAACTTCTTTACTGCAACAAATCATTTAAATGAATAAATATTTTGTAATTAAGTATTATCAAATTGATCATTTTTGCCAAATCTGAAAATAAATTTTGAAGTGGACCAAATATAAATAGTTTCTTTTTTTTATGCAATAAGTTATATTCGTATTTTGTCGATTTCTTTACAATCAATAACTATGTCAAAATAAAATTGAGAGTTAAATGACTTTGGCACAGTGTTGGGGAAAATGATAGATTGGATAATGCACCAGCATACCGAGTACTACCAGATTTTTTAAGACATTAGGGTTTGAGATAACAAATTATTCTGTTTTCCCACAATTAGATTAGTAAAAAAAATTTATTCTGTCAATATTAGACTACTACTCATCAATAAAAAAACACACTTTTCATAAACAAAATAGGCAAATATTTCTGTATCGCGATCTGTGGCGGAATTATTGTCAATTTCCAGGCAGAGACCCCGAAAGAAACTAAAAAAAATATCAAAGGCAAACTTGAAGGATATAACTTTAAGCCATCCTCGAGCAAACCTCTACTTGTTACTTATTATTTTTAATTTTTTCCGCTTAAAATCAATTTGGTACCTAGGCAATTGTAGTTAGCGTGGCAGATCACAATACAGAAATATCCCCAAAACAGACAAGAATTTGAAGTGAATTTAGATTACTAATATGGCAGTTGGTAATCTTGAAAATTGATTTCAAATTATGAAAATTTTAAATTAGGCATTTCGGTATTTCACATCTATCTAAAATTATAATAAAGTGACAGATAGAAAATATTTTTCATAATAAGGTTCAATATAGTTGTCTAACCTTCATGTATATCAATAATGAAATCAATGAAGAATTTAATCCCTCAACTAAACTATTTCATAAAAGATTGAAAAAGCCAATCTTGTGCTTTTAAATTAAGGGGCTATTAATGAATATGAACTTATTCAACGCATAGAAACTAAGAATCTCTAGAAATTATAATCAATAACCGGATTTTTTTATTTTAATTATTTGCAATATTATTGCACATTAAATAACCCACACAATAAATGAAAATTTCAATTGATAATTAATAAAATTAATGATATTCAAAAATAAAATATTGCACCAAAGAGACTATTAATACAGACGAATTTAGATCACTTACATGTTTGTAGTCAATAAGAACAAGATTAACCAAGATATAAAAACAGATTTTATTTATGTTTCTTAATGGAATAACATAATTTTTTATTACTTTACCATGAATTATCGTAATGAGCATTTACATTAAGATGTTATTAATGAATAAAAGTATTGCTTAATATTACATAAATGGCATCAACTAACCTTACTCTTCTAATTACAAATTTTGAAATGAAATCAAATTCATACAAAAGCATTAAATAATGGTGGTTTCAAAGACTATCTACAAGAAATTCGATACACGCTATAAAAAATAAATAACTAAGTAGTACAATTTTAAACACACAGAAGACACGTTAGTACAAAAATTATAAGAATATAACTCCATTAAAAACACATTCATATTTTACTTATTTGAGCAAAAACATAGATTTTGAACTTGCTCTATCATTAAAAAAAATTCATATCATTTTCTCTTTTAATTAAACATCAAAAGTTTTCACAAACAAATACATGATACATTATCAATGTAAATATTTCTTGTTTTCAATTAGGTATATCAATTAAACATAAAGTTTAAAGCTTTCGAAATGTAACGTACATAAATATATCAATTAACAGCAACACAAATTCAATATTCTAGAGATATTTATATATAATGAAAAGATCACTGTAGTTATTATTAGTAAAATCTCATGGTATCATTTTTCAAGAGAGGCTTCGCTAAGAGACATACTTCAATGCTTTTTTTGGTTCATTGCTAATGCAAGAGTAATTTTATCATCACTCTTGATAATAATACTACTTATGTCGGCCTCTAATTTCAAAATAGGTGATTTAGTGGATTCTAGTTTTTTGGCTAACTGCATCAAATGAACAAGACTTCCAGAAACTGAACTGTCAATGGAACCTTTCGAACCAAGACAAAGACCATTTTGATCAGCAATGAGAACGCCAGTAACTCCAGGTTTACTGGCAACATCTAAAATAACATTTCGTATTTTCGTTTCCATATTTCTTTAATTACTTATGAAAAAAAATTTCACATCAGACACACAACAAACATCAACAAACACAAATCATATGAGCAAGAAATTGCGTCATCACAGGTTACAGGTAACAAATGTAAATTTCGCAATACTTTAAAAAAAACTGGAAAATTATATTTAGATATATATTGATTATCCTAATAATCGTATTTAATGTTATGTGCAGTGCTCTATAAACAAAATTTGAGTTAAATTAGTTTTTAACTAGGTTTTATTTTTGATTTTGGCAATACAGTAAATTATTCCACATTTGGCACTTAATCGCTTTTTGTTCGAATTTTTTTCCTGATGCTAGACTTCGCAGTAATTCCTAAATTATATTAATTTGTTGCACAAATATTTATAGTCTTTAAATATGCCTTTATTGGATACTGTTAACATTGAAATATTAATCGGAAGTATTTTGTTTTTATCATCTTAATTAGAATTTCATTAACTTCTTGTCTTGCTGGATATGAAAAAATTGAATGTCGACATCGACCGATAAATAATTTATACTTTTCCTGACACTCTAACTTTTAATTTCCTTTATTTTACAAATAAAGGAAGTTAATTTTAAGTTTCTACCAGGCGTTAATTTTTTTTTTTACTCATCAATTGAGCTTAAGATTAAGAAAATCGGCAACCCCATAGAAATAAGCGCCGGCTACCGGCTAATGCATCCAATGATGTTCCCCTTCTGATAAGTGTAAAATTTATAGATACACAATTGTTTTACCATTACAAAACTTTTCGGGAAGTAGTACTTTTATATTAATGTCATTGTATTATTTTTAAAATTTTTAATACATTTTAGTTCTTTTTGTTTCAAAGAGTATTTTTATGCTGTCAAATGCAAGTTGAAACGCAAACAAACATGAAAAGTCAAGTCACTGGTGTAAGGTAAGAAAAAGCATATTACGATGCTACCTTTTTAATATGTTGCTACTATAAACATTTTTGTTAATTATTAATATACGTGGATTTGCTGGTATTGTATTGATTTTACTAATACTCTCAATTTATTTGATTCCTGCATTAAATGTACAACTGTTTGTTTTGCCGAGAGCAATTTAATATTCACATATTTTGCATATCTAGTTTAAAGTAACCATTTTTGGTGCTTATAATTATAGCTCATTTTTTGTGCACTGCAATAACTAGCTGCAATCTTAAATCAATTGCAACATTGCTAAACATTAATTGCTCCTTTAATCATATTTTTGCTAAGACCATTAAACCATCTACTTCTTTTCATCCCCGTATATTCTATCAAACGTATGTGTTATTTGCCTGATAAAACTTTTCTCGTTAAATCCTTGCCTGAAAATTGATGTTAGAATTTAGATTAGTCGGAAGCTGTCAAAAATATGTGTAAAAATGTCAAATAAAAATCTGTCAAAAGCTTTTTATCTTTCCAAGTTGTATAAAAATGACAGTATTTATGTAAATCTTTTTCTCTCTATTTAGCCCTGGCTAGTTACTGCATGATTCTTTATTCTTGTTGTTGTTATGTTACTCTCGTAGTTATTTATTTTTATGCTAAAAAAATTGTTACCATAATTTCAACATCTACAAGTTGTATACAATATATTATTTTATTCTTTAAAATATGTGTGTTATCATCCGACAAAAATTTTGGTGTTGAATCCTGATCTAAACACATTTTGTTAGAATGTGGAATAATCAGAAACTGTCAAAAATTAGAGTTAAGGCGTCAAAATTAAAGATTTCCATATCTTTTGTGCCGAAATGAATACCAAGTGTTCACAACTTTCAAGTAGTGACCCATAAAAAGTTTTTTAAAAAATTAAAGAAAAATAATGAAAAAAATTCCTGGAAGGTAACAAACTCAGAGTATAGCTCAATGTTACCTCCAGGCAAAGCCTAAAATATTTTTTTCAATAATTATTACAACTTTAAACCTTGGCACTCAAGCTACATAAATAACTGTTCTGTTTCTTATGAAAAAAACTTTTATTCACAAACAGTACCAAATATGAAGAACCCTTAATAACTCAAATAAACCAGAGAACCCAAATTTATATAAAAACTCAATTTCAAAACAAAACTCATATCTAAAAAAACCAACAACTTTCTGTTCTACATAATCTTTTATTGAGTATAGTAAAGTGCGCTGTGCTCTTTGCTTTCGCTTATAGCACTGTGTTTCAATAGGTAAGGCTTAATTTAGCCTATGAAGATTTATTTGAGCTGTGATGCTCTTCTTCAAATTCAAATTGCTTATAACTCTGCATTTTAAAGTCTTCTAATTTTTGTTTATCTCTTTATGTGTTTATTTTATTTTATTCATGCTTTCGCTAGCCAATAATTTTTTTAATATTTTTAGACTTTATTGCACCATCAGATGCCAGAATTGAATTATATTCACATTATTCATATTCAAAGTATTTACTTTTAAATGTTAGCATTTTTACAAGTTTTCTTTTTCTTCTATTTAATCCAAAATAATTACTTCTTGTTCTGATTTTAGCTCCTACTGTCATTTTTTATTTAAAAGACTATATATTTTATTATCATTTAACTTATAAGAATTAAATTTAATTTTTCTCCTCAGGAAAACCAGTGAAGAAGTTGAATCGCCACGTAAAAGTAATAAGCGTTTGAAGGTTGCACATAGCTCATTGGAATCCTCTTCTAATGAAAGTGCTATTTTGGGTAAGTGTGAAGAAGTATAGACACTAATTTCAAATTCTATTTTAAAAAATATCAATTTTAATATCAAATTTAGCTGATATCTTTTATTAGCATCTTTTATTATCAAATTTAGCTGATATCTTTTATTATCTTTTATTAAATGAGAATATAATACCTTTGATTTATTTAGTATCGATAATATTATATTATTATGCCATCAACACAGCAAAGTAAGCTGTTTAAGATAAAAACAGTTAAGAATAATTTTGCCTTATTCAGAATACTCTTTGTATTGTGTTTGTTGTTGTCTTGAAATATAAAATCTCAAACAAAAATTTTCCAGTTGCCTTGATGAAAATCACTTGAATGTATGTAATGATTCTCCTGTGCTATGATGTGTCGAAAATCATGGAGGGCACTAAAAATGTTGCTAATCCCAAGGAATGCATATTTAACTAACAGAACACACAAATAATATATTTTTTGATTAAAGCTATAACATAGCAAACATAATTGATGATATATTTAAAATATTTGAAAAATTGAATTGTTTATAACTTATTTTAAAACATTGGCTTCCATTAAGCAAATGAGAAAATTCCATTTTTTTAATTTCTTTACAATTTTACGAATTTAGTTTCATTTTGAATCTTGCATTCTTAGAGCTTAAGCTTACAGTATACCCACAATCCGGTTTACACACAGTCAGACGGTCAAACATAGCAATTCCTTATTTTATTATATGCATAGATTATTTGTTGCCCTTCTCAATGGATTTACAGTATTAGAATAATCAAAACTCATTTTTAAGATAAGTCAAAACTCATGCAAAATAAAGGCTAACTACATTATTCAGTATTATGTGGCATAATGCTGTTTCTCAAGGCAACTCGTGATATTAAAAGTTTATCAAAGTCAAGGTACTTTCTTCTATACTTATATCTTTGAGGGGCCATAAGAAATCTATTATAAAAATGCAAAGTATTGGTGTCAATATTATGGCAACTTTTAACAGTATTTCGTAAGTTAATTTAGTTACAATTAATAAGTTACATTTTCTCCATCAATTTAGCATTTTAGTACAAGCTTCTTTTTTTATTTCAATTACTACCTATTACTAAAAATAATTAAGCATCATTGACATCATTTAATGTTCTCTTAAACTAATTAGTTCCATTTTTCTATTATTTTTCCTTTTTAGTGCAGACTTATTTTTACTTATGTAACTATTACCAAAATTAATTATTTTTGGGGTCAATAATAATATTAGCATTTTATAACTTTATTTTCAACAAATGAATACTATTTTTTCTCAGTTTTGCTTTTCTGTTCAAAACTCTTTTTAAATTTAAATTACCTTTGATTTTAAATTATTTAGTTTTATAAAATTCCATTTTAAAAGTATAACTGTAAAAAAATAAACCTTAAAAATATTAATTAGGTGACGTAATCTGCTTATGATAGCACAATCACATTGATCTTTCAGCTAACCTAGCATGAAAAATAAAAAATTATTAAGTACAGTAGAGAACCGATTATCCGGGACCATCGCTGTTCCTGATAACTGATTTTTCCAGTTTTCTGAATCGCTACGAAAGCCGTTTTTTTTTATTGACAAATTCAACTTAAAAAAATATATATATTTAGAATAACTTTAAAAAAACTCTTACTTCTTTTGACAGTTTGGGGGACTAATGATTATTTCTAAAATGATGGTAAGCATCTTTTAACAAGAAAGAATTCTGAAATCTTTTGAGAAATTTTTTTTAAATGGCGGGAAAATTTATCGAGTTTCGTTCCGGTATTCTGATTTCCAGATAAGAGGTTCTGTACTGTATTATAAATTGCAGAATGTGCAAGAAACAGCTTTTTTTTATTAGAACTATAAGCTAACAAATACCACTGCTGTTATGTTTAAAATATTTTGACAAAATTGAATAGTCTATTACTTATTTTGAAACAATTACTTCTGCTGAGCCAATGAAATTCCATTTCTTAAATGTCTCTGAATTTAAAAATCAAAATTCGGACTTTGTTATAAGTTTAGAATTGTACTCATCCTTATACTTCATGTTAAATTCTGTATTCTTTACTTACCGGATTACGTTTACTCGTAATCCGGTATACAGACACACACACATTCTTTATTTTATTATATGTAAAGATTAATGGTTGTATAATAATAAGTTTACTTCAAAGAAATTTTAAATGGACCCAAAACACCATAGAACTTAATATTAAAAAAAAAATTTAGTTTTCCTTAAGCTTGAGCTTGACACCACTTATTGTTTTGAACTTGTGCAGTTAAGTTTAGTTATAAGGTTCAGATAAAAGTTTATCGCTTCTGTGTGAAAGAGGTAGATTTTATCTACAATGGATCAATATTTCATTATAAATTTTTAAATGTTCTAATTGACACCATTTTGCAAACAAATAAAAAGCTTTTTTATACAAATTTCAAAAAATTCTAGTTATTTAAACTTTCTACTTTATCGAATTCTTAATAGTTGGTTTTAATTGTATTAGACTTCTGCAGTTAGTTTACATTATTATTTTATTATTTATTTTGTATTTTAGATTCTTACATTGGTTCAGAAATTAGTAGCCCATCTGATGTTGTAAATGATGTTTCTATGCCGGAAGGTAGTTCAAACGAGAATGAGTTATATAATGGCCAATCATATAATAATCATGTTAATGGCTCACTAAATAATGGCAACAGATCTAATTACGAAGAAATGACAAATAGTGACAGATTCAATGAAATTCCTGACATCACTGAAGATGAACACTGCTTGATGAGTGGTGAAGTAGTAAATCCAACTGATTCAGACATGCAGTTTGTTGTAACTGATACTCAAGACTCTCAGCATCTTTCTCCGCCTACCTTAGAACAGTACAACAATTGTTCCAATCCGGCATCTGATACTGCTTATGACACACCAAACTTCTCTGATAAAAATTCTTATGAATCTTCTACAGACATTGCTAGTTCTGATAGTTCTTATAACAGTGAAATACAAGTACCTACAGAAGTAAATTCACAATGTTCTATGCAAAATGAACCTGAAAATATTGAACTTGGTGTTTCATCAAAAGACTCTGATTTAAATGCTGGGAATAATTCTGAAGCTACAGATTCTACCCCATTGATCCGTGAACCAATTTCACCTCCATCTGATAGTCTAGAATGTTCTGCGACACTATCTGCAGAAGAAGAATCTACAAACGTCTTAAAAAAGGATGATATCAGATATTTAGGAATATATGATTTAAAAACCACTCCTCTTGAAGGTCATGCTGATACCGTTTATAGTGTTGCTGCTTTTGATAAAATAATTTTGTCTGCTAGGTAATCCATTTTTATTTTTTTACTCTATAAATCACAATCTACTCTTTTGAATTTTATTGTTTTTAACTTACCATAGAATTTTATTTTAACCCACTGGCGGTTAAGGAAATGGGCAAAATTGGGAGAATGTTTCTCCCCTACACACAGTTCCCCTATCAGTTAACATGGGAAAACCGGTTTTGCTATGCAGAGAAGACTGCAGGTTAAAATGCGACTTTTTACGTGCAGAACCGTCAGTGGGTTAATGAAGGCTTCATCAGCATTTTAACCAAAGTTTTTACTTGAGTCAATTGAAAAAGTGTTATTTAGTAATTAACAGAATGATATAACAATCATAAGTGTAATATTCAGAACCAAGTTTGAATAATAATTATTATCAAATTTGAAATTGTTATGTTAACATGTAAATTTATTTTCATTATACAAATCTGTAATTTTTTTTATTAATTTTATAAATACAATTCCGTATTCTAAAATGTTTTTCTCAACATTTGCCAGTAGCTTTATCATGGTTATTTTCTTGCATAAAATAATTTAACTTTCATTAAATTACATGTGTCACAGTTAAGTTGAAATTTTTGCATTTAATTTGAAAGATATGAAAGAGATACAAACAATATAGACTTGTGCATGTTAGATTGTCACCTTCAAAACAGTATCTTAGAAACAACCTAAAAAAACACTAAGAATATCAGAATTACACAGCTCCAAATCTTCCAATGGTTTCTATATCTGTTCTAAATGACTAAATCAGCTTTTTTTATAACTTTCTTAATCACTTTTTCTCTTAGTTCTGCAGCCTGCTTTATTCGTTTTAAAAGTATAAACACCAGCAAATATTCACATCAAAATCATCATTGCCAGTATTCCGTCTGAAAATAGTTGATCAAAATTCTTGCGCAAAACATTTATTTGTTAAATACTTTATTTTAGGCTTGTGTAATCCAAAGTTGTTGTTTTTTTTTTTTNTTTTTTTTTTTTTTTTTTTTTTTTGTTTTTTTTTTTGCTGCGTTGGAGTTTGGGTTGTAGATTTACAATTCCTGCAAGTTGGGCAAATCTCAGCTTATCATTTCATTCAAAATTAGAATTTAAATAAATTATAAACAACTGATAGAATTATGAAAAGACAATATGACATTTAATCTTACATTGTAAAGATAATATGAAGAAAATTATGAAAGGTTGTGATCTTAAAAACGTATTTGCAATTTTTTTATTCTAAAGAATAAGATTATAAAACACATATTGAATCTATTGAGTAGCATACTACTAAACATCGAATTTTAGAGGCAAATGAAGCACATGATGAAATGTCTCTTCCTGACTGCACTATTGTTAGTTTTTTTATGGATAATAAGTATTCATATGCAGCACTAAGTACTCTACCACATTATCTGCCACCTCCTTTGTTGATTATAGAATCAATTTCTTTTCATCATAATTTTTTGTATAGATCCCTGAGCACTCTATGCAGTTTTGTATGTCTCACTTTATCAACTTTTACTGGTCTCTGGTCCATCATTTTCAATATCTCCTTTTTCAGTGTCCTTGTTTTCATTTCCCTTTTCATACTCTAATGCGATGAGGAAATATTTTATTTTTCTTTCACCTAGTTGCAGATAGATTTTTTTAATATTCCATTTTACTTATTTGTGCTTTAGAGATTTAAAAACTTGATTGAGTGCATTCCCAAGTCATTAGGTTATCCGTGATGATGCACATGCTGCAAAACATAGCTCATATCCATTCTTCTTTGATAAATGCGAGTTTCAAGTGTATATTCTAGGCGTTCACTTAAATCTGTTTTAACAATAATTTTTGCTTAATAATAACTTCATTATGGCCTCGGCTGCCAACAATTATTCTCACTTTATCAACTATTTAAGACAGCTATTCAGACTGGCTGCAATACATTTAAATCACAAAAACTGCTTTGAATTCTTCCTCAGAAACTATCTGTATGGATCAGAGTTTTTTGTAAGCAGTCTTTCAATTTAAGGAATCATTCTAGCATATCAAAAAGACTTTTTTCTTGTCTTGCAATCCAAAATCAATGATAATTCTTTATTAAATTTTTCTTCTGCATATTGTTGTTGGGATTAATTTTTAAAAAGTTTTCTTCTAAAAATTTTGCGACACAATTTTTTTTATTATAGAATCACTATTGGGCAAAAACCAGACAGCTCCTTTTCAACAATTATGTTTCTGATATTTTCAGTCATAATTCCATCATTCTCCAACTCCAGAAGGAAAGGTTGAAGTGATCCAGATATCAATAAAAGATCATCATTTTAAAAGTGAATTTTTTAGTTTCTAAACTTCAAATCTGTGTAATTGAGATCCTAATCCTATGAGACTAGTCCTACAAGCATAGGTGCGAGATTGGAATTGTATTCTCCAACTTCAGCCAGGGTTGCAAAAAACCCACCTACCCAATAAAACTCGATCTTGGGTAAAACTCAATCTGAAAAACCCAGTAAAACCCACCCTAAAGTGGGTTTTTCTAAGAGTGATTTCCTTTTTTATCCTCTGTTATATTAAAAAGCTATTCTATTGAAATATATATGTAGTCTATCCTAAAAAAAATGAACCTATAGTGAAGAAACTAATTGTGTTGGAGACTGGAGAGTCACCTTGCCTGCTAGATTTGACTGTATGGCCATTGATTATTCAGTGCCATTGATTCGCCTTCTATGCAAATAAAAAAATTTCCTCAAATATTTTTTAAGATTAAATTATAAATAAAAAGTAATCCTGTGTTAAAATAATTTCAAATGTGTGATGTATGTGAGTACATGTAACTTTTTGTATCGTGATGTCAGAAAAAATTTTTTTCAGACTTTCACATCAATTTATTTGTATTAATTATCAATATGAAGTCAATTTATAAAATTAAACTTAATTATTAATTTTAAAATAAGATACTTATCCCTGCCCTCTCTTTTGAACCCCCCACCCGGGTTGAGTTTTTCTACAAAATCCCGGGGGTTTTTTTGCAACCCTGACTACAGCTCACAGTGGGCCTTAAATTTCTGGTTTTGAAATTTTCTCTCAAATATTAGTACTAATTTATGTATCTCAATCTGATGTTTCCTGCTGTGCATTAGAAAAATTAACGAAAATGACAAAACTTCAAAATTGAAAATTTAATATTTATGACATTTTTATATGATTAGATACTTATTGCAAAAATTTATTTTTTAAAAATTTTGTTTAATCAGTTTTTTGAAACTATTTCAGCATTCATAGCATTAACAATAGAAAATAGTTTAGCCTCTTTCTTAAAATCTATTGTTTTTTCAATCGCACTGCCCTATTAATGCTTTAAATATTTATTACACTATACATGTTTTTTGACATCACATCCACTGATATATAAAAGTAATTTATTGAAATTTATCCAATTTCTGTTTGAATGCAACCCTAAAGGCTGAAAAAATTTAGAAGTTAATTGATAATTTCTATGCTCTAATTTGTCTAAATTTGCAGAAAAGTCACGGTTATAAATATTTGCATAATTTAAGTTTTAAGTGATGCTAATCCTAAACCTTCTGTGATATTTGTAACCAGTTAATTGTTCTGTAGAGTTATTATTTTGACAGATATTTTACATATTTATTTTTTCACCCATTTATATATTGCTCCTGTTTAATCAACTCGATAGAATTTCATGGTTTTTTAATGAAAAACCACTGTCTATACCAACCAGATTTCAATGAACTTTACCTGCTTCTACGAGACATGCACATTAATTTTGGAGAATATTTGTTTAATTTGCTATTGTATAATTTTATAGGGTTATTTTCACAGCAAACAAGATATGCAACTGTACTTAAATTACAGAATTAAATTCTTAAATTTTCAAATGAAGTTTTACATTACTCTCCCTTTACATGATAAATGTAGAATATATCTTATTGTAATATATTTATGAAACCAATTTGCGTTGCTTTTTATGCTTTTAGTGGTGATACAACTGTGAAAGTATGGAATGTTGATGAGCAGGTGGAACTGTGTAATTTTGCAGGCCACACTGATGCTGTGACATCTATTGTACTTCTTGATCCTATTCAATCAAAATCACTCGCTGAGAAACTAAATTCGCAAGAAACCACTGTAATTGCAATTTCAGCATCATTAGACTGTCACATCAAAGCCTGGTCTGTTCATAATGGTAAGATCTGTGATCAAAATGCTTCTTTATTATTATTATTATAAATAAATAAATAAAAAAAGACGGAGAACATTCTCAGTCAACAACTATCTTTTTAGGTTATCTACCAATTTCTGATATTCTATATTTAGATATATCCTAATTCAAGGCATGAAATTTCAATTCTAAAGGTTCTAGCCATACAAAACTTTTTGCTCTCCGCCATTTTCACAAAAATTATAAACAATTTTCAAATTATTAACAGATGTAATCAGTGTTTTCATTACAGAAAAAAACAGGGTGATATTTCAAAAAGTTAAGTGAGATTTCTAAAAATTAAAAAAACACGAATAGACTTGGAAAAAAATTATTTCTTTAGTTATAATACATTTTTAACATCTTCTAATTGAATATTTTTGCTGGATTGTCATATGGAAAATGTTTTATATCTACTTTTTAATTAGCTATTATATTTATTTGGCTATATTTATTTGGCCGTTACGGAGTAGAAGATCTTACATTCGTGCACAAAAAATGTAAACGTCTTACATGAAGAAACCTTACCTACGGTGAACACGTGGTTGCAGAGAAATGTGTTCTGAAAGGGGTTCTGTTGTTCGAAAAGGTTCTGAACAATACTGGTAAATAGGGAAGCTTGATAACAATAACTTCTCGTGTTAATAATTTTTTATTGCGAGAAAAGAAAAAAATATGCGAGATTCTCGCGCTGTAGTGAAAACACTGGGTGTAATACAAAGAACTTTTTAGTGACCAAAACCATAAAAACAGAACCATAGACTGAAAATATTTTTGGCAAGGCAATAGAATTTCTGAAATTTAAATTAGTTATGTATTTTTTTCTTTGGAACCTTTATTGTAGGAAATAATAGACAAAATGCAATAATTTTAAATATGTTATTGTCTTTTTTTCTGCAATTCAAACTCTTGACTTTGAACTTTTGCATGAAACATCTTTTTCTTAAATACCATATTTAATTGTAGGAAAGGAATTGATTTCAATCTATACATACAACAGTATCACTTGTATGGGATATTTGCAACCTAATGTTTGTGCTATTGGTACAGGTGAGTGATAATAAATTTATTCCAAGTCTTCAAAATTTAAAAGTATGAATTTACTTATATGCATTGTATTATTTCTATAGAAGGGGGCAATTTGGAAATTTGGGATTTAATAGAGAAAAAGAAAATGGATTCAACTTTAGCTCATGACTCTTCAGTCTCTGATTTAAAGGCAATTATAAATTTATATTTATTACTTCCATTATCTAATACTTGTATACAATATTTTCTTATATAAAAAATTATTAGTTTTTTAAAAAAAGTTGCCTTATTTTTAATTTGTATTTTACTTATAAAAAATTTATATATATATTTCTACTGTAAATTGTGGTCATTTTTCTAGAATTTTTTAATAGTTTTGATGTATAAAATATTTTTAAAGTTTTAATAGCTAAGAGAAACAGTTTATATACAGTTTGCTGCAAACATCCTTAGTTTTTTTATTTTATTTATTTTGTGACCTAGAACACGAGTCTGTCCAAGCCAAATTTACTACCGTTTAGTGGTACCTTCACAAATTCAACTGTAGGAAGATGGTAGTTTCACAAAATACTTTTTCTTAAAATTTTATTTTTGGGTCTCATAAGAAACGATAAATCCATATTTTTACCATATTTTTGTGTTGATTTTTTAATTTAATTTTCACAAATTATGTCTAAATTTTCACAAAATAGGTACCTCTCAGAAAAACCTAGACTGACCCCTGTAGAATAAACCACCGGATCAGCTTTATGACTCAAGGATTTATTGTATCAGTGGCCAGTGTGTCCCATTAAAAGTAAAATAGTGATAGAAAAATCATGATATTTTTGTTGGGAATCTCATTTGGTAACTTACAAAAGAAACGCCTAATCAGAAGCAAGTCATCGTATGAGTTTGACTCTAGAGCCATATATTAGGATTATTTTTCAAAGACCAGGGGATTAGGGGACAGCCTAGGAAATGACATATTTATTATTTAAAAAATAAAAGAAATTAAAAATAGATGTTTTTATGAAATGTTAGCTAAAAGATAAGATTGAAAGTCCAGTTTATAATAAAAATGCATTGTTGAAGAAAATTTGTACAAATTATAAATTTTAATCCAAAGAATCACCCAACAATAGATCCTTGTCATTCTAGAAATATTCATTTAAGAAAGTGCAACATTATGTTTTAAGTGGTTCATACTAAAACCCTAGAGAACCTAAGATTTTTCTTTTTTTTTTTTTATGTAAAAGCATAGGAAAAGAAGTTAAAAACCTTTTTAAAAAAATTTAAGGTCCTTTTAATTTTTTTTCCTTGCAAAAATTCTTAATTTTCTAACACAAATGCATCTCTAGCTCATTTCTGTTTTAATGTTAAAAAATGTTTTTATTGAAACTTTATAAAAAAAATTATTATTTTTTTTATAATGTTACTTTAATTAGGATTTTTATTTACTTCTTGAAGTAAAGGTAAAAGCTTTTTTTTTTTTCAAGATTTGCTGACAATAAATGATAGTCATTTGTTTGAAATTCATTAGTATATGGGTACAGTGTATCATAATGCTGTATAATAGGATCAGGTCATGTGTAGAAGAAGGATTTTCTGTTGAAAATGAAGAACTTAACTTTTAATTTTTCATTATTTTAAGATTTTATTGTATTGTTGCTTACATTAGTTTTTAGAATTGTTATTTGAGATAATCAAGGAATTTGTTTTCCAGAAATTCAATATGAACTTTTAATTAGAGTAGTGACTTTTTATTTACAGGTTCATGATGGTTATATTTTCTCTACATCTATTGATGGAACAGTAAAAGTTTGGTTGTATGAAGATGAGGAATTGCAACCTCTTTACTCTAGGAAGCGACGAGAAACTTCCTCAAAAGGTTTGGATATGGGGCCTACACTTTGGAAGTCAGTTGCTGTTAATAATGATACTCTTTACCTAGGCGATGGCAGTTCTTGTTTGAAAGTATTAAACTGGAAATTAGGTATGTACTGAGTACATTTTAAAGTAAAATATTTATACATTTTTTATACTGTCTATAACCAATGAACTGTGTAGACCCAACAATAAGTCCACTATAAATGGTAGTTCCTTATATCCAAGTTCTTTGAAAAATCATTTTTTTAGCATATGATAATAGGGATAACAATAGAATATAATTTATTTCAATTATTAACTGGTTAAATATATAATAAATCAAATATTAAAAGGAAAAATTAATTTATTTTTACATTTTATTTATGGAAGAAATTGGTATTTTTCGATTGACTACAATTTTAATTTAAGTAGAGTTTAATAATTTTGGTATCAACAATTAATAAAGAATTCAGTATCTCCTAGTCCTCATTTTCTCCACGGAAAAATTAATTATGAACTTTTAATGGCAATTTCATTTACAAAAGTTGCCTAAATTTCTTATCCTTTTTCAATATAGAAAAAAGGAGAAAATGTATGTTCTGGTTTTTGCATAACAGAAAAGAGAGCATGCAAAATAAGATTTGTTATAATGTATAGAAATGCTGTCATTTATAATTGCAACTCCTTTAAGTTTAACATTGATGGGAAAAAATTTTAGTCCACTACAAACGAACTACCATTTTTTTAAGTGTCATCTATAAGCTTATAAAATAGTGTTAAATGGGAATTTTGAAGGAATCACTAAAACAGTTCACTATAACCAAATTTTCACTATATCCCAGGTTCAATATTCATCTGTATTACTCTTTAGTTCAAGGTTAAATTGTTTTCCTGGCAAGATGCCCTTTTTTAAGGAATTTATAATAGTTAGCAAAAACTTGACAGATTCCTCTATGTAGTGATAGGTCATTCTGCATCATTTGATTTCTAGTCTTGCTTGTAGCAAAACTTTATTATTTAGTTAAAAAAGGAAATATTAACTTTTCAGAATGCAGTAAAGATATTGACAACTTTTACGTTTGTATTTTATTGAGAGAAAAAATTTTTTAAAAATTCAATATCTTGCTTTAAATAGTTTTCTGCATAGCAAATAACTAGCACTCATTTAGTAAAGACACTATTTAGTTTTGTCTTTGAGCTTAAAATCTTTTAATAGAAATTTGTACCTCTTACTAGTTAGTTTGAACACTCACATCTCTACATCAGCTTTGTATCTGGACAATACAAGTTTTGAGTGTTTTCTGACCTCTAGAAACAAAGTTTTCACATCAATTAAAGTTTCAACTGTTTTTTCAAACTAGATTTATTGTTCAAATGTTAATTGATTCTCTATGCTAATTGCAAATCAAGTTTAAATTATTTCTTGGTCACTACCGGCAGAATTTATTTGTCCGTAAAAGCTTCAAATTGGCTTCAATTGCTCTAATTTCAATAGTTACATGCATGATGCTAATACGGGTTGCATTTATTTCCTAATATGTTCAAGCAAACTGTATTGCTATTTATCAAATATTACCTTTTATGAACTTCTTTGACATGGACAAACTAAAAATAATAAAATTAATAGTTTAAAAACTATGTTTTTTAATTTGACTTAAAAAATTTATAATTTAATTGTTGTCTGAATCTTTTACATAATAAACTTTCAACCCCAATGGTTTCCCTATTAATTACCGTAGCTCTTTTTAAAAAAGATAATAATTTCTTGATTCCACACATTTTTCAAGAAACCTTTGAAATAAATTTATTGGTTTTATTCATAATTTTAGGACGATTGAGATCCTTGGTTAACCAAAAAGAGAGTGTTGGTGAATGTGATGCTCTTCTAGCTAAAGAAAATATTTTACTTTCATCATCATATAATGCAACAACTGATACTGGTAGCATTAATAGTGAGTATGATTTTTTTTTTGTACTTTAAATTCAAACTTTTTTGCTTTATAATTTTATAGTTGATTCATCATAAAAATATGAACTTTATCTATATGAGTGAGTTACACTTAAAGTGTAATTAAATGCAACTGTTACTTGTAAAGTTTAAATAACGTTGTGCTAAAGGAATGGCTAATGGGACTTAATCAGTCATAATAAGGAATGTTTGCAGTAATGGAGAATCGTAATAAACAACACTGACTGTATAAGATTTAATTTTAAGAATATTTTACAAAAAATTTTACTATTAACAATCAGTCAGGATAATGATAATTAAAAAACAAATTGGTTTGTAGCAATTTTTTTGTAGTTAAAAAAACCTATTTTATTTAAGAAAATGATATTCACATAAAAATATTTTCAAATTTATATCTCATCACACTAACAATTAAGTGTATTAGTGTAATTAAAGAATTTAATTTTTTTTTTCTAAAACCAATTTTGAAGGAAATAGATTAAGACCCAGGTTGTTTAGAGAAAGCATCATTCAAAGTTTGCGAAAGATTTATTTCATCTTTGCATTCATCCAAGCATCATTATAAGTGTCAAGTTATGCAGTTTTGAAAGAAATTCATTTTTGAAACAGCAATTATCTTTTGAAAACTTTTTAATATTTCTAAAGGATTTTGTAATATTTATGCTAATGTTTCCATTTAAAACTGTCTCAATTTAATTTTGGTTATATATGCCTTAAGAAATAAAACTGTCTTGCGAGCTATTTTTTGTGCAGAACTATTTTCATGTTATTAGTTTATTTCATTTATATGATTAGATATATTTCAATTTATATGATTAGGATAAATGAATTATATTCTATCAAATTTAGCTTATTTTATAATGCTAATTAATTATTGTTCATACTTATGCAAAATATTTTTTTTCGTGATATATTTCAGACCTATTATCTTTGGATCGCATTTGGAAAAAATCACTTTTTTGGTGTGCTTGTTTCATGATGATCCCATCTGAAACCACATTTTTTTTCAACTGTTATCACTGGCAATTTCCTCACAATTTTAAAAATACCAATATTTTTGATAAAAGATGCACTGATTTATAATTATTTCATTCTGAATGCTAATTCTTGTTCATTGCATTTTTGGCAGTCAGTGACTACAGATTTCCGCAAGATTTTTTTATCTGATTTTTTTAATACAATATGCTTAAGAGCACATGAATTTGATTAAGCCTTTTTGACTTGCACAATTCAAGACAATTTTCTTGTAAAAGCAAGTTGTCATTTTGATAAATTTTTCCGCTGTATTACTATGTCTATAACCCTGAATTTTTTTTAATGCAATAGTTTAAATGGCAAAATATGTAAATATTTCAAGGGATACATTTGCCATCCAAGCCTATTACATAGCGGACATTTGTTAGACTTGCTGACAATCATTGTTTTGCTAACCTGAACTCTAATGATGAGGTAAAAACTCATGTGCTATTGTTGATTTGGTGTACATGGATTTAGCAAAAAATACTAAACTCCCTTCAAAGGTGACATCAACTGTGGCTGCCAATTACTGAGCATCCTGGTTCTAGAGGATCTTCTGCTGTGTGCCCAAGAATGGTATATGGGCACCATTCATGTTTGATACTGCCAAATAATGAGTCTTGATTGCGTACTTTTCGCCATAGACCTAGACTTCAGCTCATGGTGCATCTGCTACCTGGACACTGTAACATTAATACTATCAAAAATTATTGCACTGTTCTTGAAAAAATTAAGTACCATTGTCTCCAAAGAAGTTGGACTTTCTGTTGGTTCACTGAAGGTATTTTATTTCCCTTTTACCTCTCACAAAAAAAGCAAATGGGTGCATTTCCCTATCTGCCACTCTAGGGGGGGGGTTACAGCTTCACCCAAGGGAACTTATCTGCTTATGCGTCAATATTAATCTTCTTTGTCAGCGCAACAGCCCCTTGCAGGCCTTGGCTGGCTCAACAGCTGACATACGCCAGCACCTCTTATCCATGACAACTCCCTTCCAATTTCTAATCTTTAGGGTTTTCAGGTCATTTTTGATGTCATTGAGTCATCTAGTAGGGGGTGTACCTCTGGGACGTGACCCCTCAGGGTTATCAATAATGATACGTGAAGAAAATTATCTGATTATGAAAGTTTTATTAATTGCTTGGTTAATAGTTGGCTTTTATAACTTTGTAATCTAAGCAACAAAAAAATTCATATAGGCTAGTTAAACATCATGATTATATTTTTCTTACATTTTCTAGTTTGGCTGCTCCCTGAATTGACATACGTCGGTACTTTGACTGGGAATGTACAAGACATTTTTTGTCTCGCTTTGACGCGTTTTGAAAATAAATTAAGGATTGTCAGCGGTGGACACCAACTCATTGTGTGGGATTTTAATTTTAAAGAACCATCTAAGGCCAGGTGAGTAGGTCTTCAATTGTTTCTTAATATATTTACTTTTCACTTATCAGGAAATATTAAATCGAAATTTGATGTCCCACTGATATTATGTTATTGATGCAAAATATCATTTCTGCTAGATAATGCAAAACTGTACATTAACTGATAAATTAACATTTATTTCATTGATAAAAGAAATATAGCCTTCTGATATTTTAATGATCCTGTGTTTTAATATAACGTCCTAGACTGTTTCTTTTCCTTTTATGATAACACAGGGTGCGTACAGACTCCTTGGGAATAAAAATGTCTCCAAGGAGTACTTGGAACTACTTAGATTTCTAAATTAGTCCTTAGAAACTCCTTAGATTATTGTGTTGTATAGATGAACTTACATGAATTTGCTGTCCAAACAGGGAAACTAAATGCTATGACTTAGCTGTCAAAGTCTAATAGTTTAAGAAAAACTTTAAAAGAAAAAAAATTGAATTGCAAGAGTTAGAAGAAAAAAATAACAGCAAATAATTTTAATTTTACATGTTACAAGCAAACTTAATTAATAATTTACTGTGATTTTTTTTGTATAAAATGCCTTAGATTTTCTTATGTATTCAAATTTAAAAATATAAGATTGGTAGGTTTTTATGTTAATCTTTAACATCTGTACTTTAACAAGATTTATTAAAATATTTGAAACTGGAAAATGTATTTATGTGTAAAAATGATAACTTTATTTTTCTTGATGAAGTTTAACAAAGTCAAAATTTATTTCAAAAGGGGTAGAGAAAAATAAATATACAAACTATACATTTTTGCAAGTGCCTTATAATAACTGCTTTTTAAAAGTCCTTGAAATTTTGGGCTCCTTGACTACTCCTTGGATTTCTTCTTCTGATCTCTGTATGAACCCTGTGACATTATTCCATATTTAATAAAATTGCTAAAGATTAGATCTTGTTCGTAAGGGTTGATCTAAAGAAGAATACAAACCTTGGTGCAGATCTCTTCAAGATTTAAAAATCACACAAAACTTTCACAGAGGTGTCAGCTGTTACTATTTATAGATGATCATTATGATAGTCAAAATTACTGTCCTACAGATGAGTTAGAAAAATTATGTTTCTTGAGAATATCCATAATCTGTTTAAAATATAATATAACTTTTTTTTACTACCTTCTTAACTACCAAAGTTATAAAATTTCGCTTGTAACTAATTTACGGTCATTTTTTTCTACCCCTTAAACAATTCTGTAAGCAATAAATTAAAAATAACTATTTTATAGAAACTTGAAGGGAAAAAAAGCAAAGAAATCTCAACCTTTCTTTTTCCAACAAGCCATTCTAAAACTTATTCTCCTCCTAATAGAGAAGCAAAACTGGATATAAACTAACATTTGAAATGCTGTAAGCAAAAATTTTAGTGATTCAAAACAGGATGATAAAGTAATAAGAGCTAGATCTAATTTCATTCAAAATTCAAATAGTTAATTTCAAAAACTAGTGCATTGATTCTAAGTAATCAATTTTATTATTAACTATAAAATTTCAGTGAAGTATTATTTTTTTTATTAATTGTATGTTCATGCTTAATTTTATTGATTGCCCTAATTTTAATTTCATATATGCTAACTTTATATGTATAGGGGAAACTTGCATTTCTTTGCAATTTATAGATATCCAATTTGAATGCTATCTAATCACTAAAATATGAATCCTCTATATTAAATATGAAGGTTGGTTCCAATTTTCTTCAGCAAGCAAATTAATTATTTGGATATTAGCTTTTTTTCATATAAATTGAAAAACTGCTACTTTTAAATGTCAGTTATTGTATTCTAATTTTAATTCTAACCTCTTCATTGTTACCAAGAAACTATTTTCAATATTATGTATCTTTGTTATAGCCCTTCTGCTGAATTTTCTTTTCAAGAAATAGATGGCCTGGGTGTTGAAGTCAAAGAAACAAGAGAAAAGAATATCAAAATCGAAAGCAGTGCTTCATCATCAAATTTGAATATTAGGGCAGAGAAACAGAACCGGTGCAATATTATTTAGGTGTCTCACTGTATATCATTGTCAGGTTTTAAATATAATGACTATATTTCTTTCTCTCTTTCATATTATATTAAGTTTATTTTATGTGTACTTTAGACCTGTGGCACAATATTTTTACTTCAAGTGTCATGAATATTTTGCCATTAGATCATTAAAAATGGAATGTGCTTCTTGTATGCTTGAAAAGTTTACTTTTGTTTACATGTTTGCCTTTCTGACTATAGTTACCTTGGAAAAATTCGTGTAATCAGAAAGCATTCATTGAAAATTAAAGGAATAGATAAATAGATGTTTTTAATGTCATTCACATAATTTTTTTAAGGAAATTGCCTCTTTTATTCTTACTAATTTAACAATTAACTGAATTATTTGTAACAAATAAAAGAGAAAATCATGTTTGAGTTCCTATTCTTTATATATTTGTTTTTACAAAAAAGTTCTTGAAATTAAGCCGTTTCAAATTTAATTATCTATCCAACAACCTGAAAATCTAAAGTTTGAATTTTTTTTAAAATATTAATTACCTTTAGTTGTTTTTATTTTATTTATTTTTTTTAAATAATATTAATTTGTTTTAAATCTTGAAATCTGTTTTATAAATAACACATTTTTTGAGAATTAAGCTAGAATTTTAATTTTTGCTTAAAATTTCATTACTAATTATCTCATATTTCTTTGTTTAATAATAAAATATTTTACACAAATTATTCATTCGGACTAGTCATATATATTTTAATTATTCAAAAGCCAGTGTGAAGAATAATCTTGGCAATTTTAAAATATGTTGATTTAATAATGAAAAAAACTTAACCTAATATCAACTGTAATTGTGTGTATAATTTGTGACTCATTATGTAGTCTATGCAATTTTGCTTACACTTAGTATAATATAGTAGAGTTTTAATGTTTTTAAGCCATTAAGTATTGTTATAATATCATAGTTAAGAGGTATCACCTATATTCTAGATGTAAAATTAAACATAGAAATTTTTAAAATAAAGCTATGCATATTTAATGTTTTGCTAGTTTAAAAAAAGACAACAAATAATTTTTTATAAACAATATCTTTGCCCAATCCAAAATGTGTAAGTTTCCCAACAAAATTCCTCTAGTGTATCAAGTTCTTGAAGTTTCATCTTCCTATCATGAGTGTTTTATAGTTTATTTTAAAATAAAAGTGGTGTCGTTGAGATTTCTTCTATGCAATTTTTTAAGATACTTCGCATTTTTTGCGATTAATTGTGACTGCAAATTACAGACAATAAAAAGTCAACTAAGGATTAGTATACAACAATGATTTCAGCATTTATTCACCATTGATTTTTAGTATCTGTTATATGGACAAGACTTTTATTTTTATCTGTTTTATTCACTTTTATTGTACATATTATCATTTCTTGTGAATTTATAAATTTCCGAAATTTGTTTAATGGTTTCATAAGCAAGATTTTAGAAAACACTTCATTTTTTATGTATATATCTCAATATCAATTTTTTTAAATTCATTTCTGTTATTAGTTCCATGTAAAAATTGATATTACATAGTTTTTCATTACAATAAAACTAGCTAATTGGTCAAAGATCTTAACATTTTAACCAAGCTACTAAAAGTGGTGTTTATATGAAAAACACATACATGAAAAAAGTGGTGTTACATATTTATTCATACTAGATGGATATTTCTTTTTGTTCTCTACCTAAACTATAATAAAGATTATGCTTTAACTTGAGTAATTAAATTATTAATTTACAAATTAATAACACTATTTCCTAAAAAGGAACTGCCCTTATAAAAGGTTAATAAGTGAATAAAAATAATTTTTACTTCCAATACCCACCTGGGGAATGAACTAAATCAATGCATGCATCTGAAGGGCAGATTTGTTGGCTACTGTATCAGGGGCACCATATAAGGTGGGCCAACTTAGCTCCCGCAGTAAGATGGATAGTACAGAGAAAGAAAGAACATCCATGCCTTGCCCGGGATTCGAACCCAGAACCTTACTGATGCATGGCCTGTTCTCTCGCCCCTACACATTCTGGTCAAGCGAAAATAGATTCATAAAATCTATACTTTATTTTAAGTTGCTTGTTTTTGCATTTAACTTAACTGAACTGCTTATTTTTACATTTAGCTTATTTTTTCTATAAATTTTAAATAAAAAAAATTTAAAAAAACGTTTATTGCAAAAAAATTGAAACAATACTTTTGCATTGAAATGTTTCGATATGTTATTTTATGCTGTTGTCAACAATTCTATTTTATGTATTTTCTTCAATGTTATGTTATATTTAGAGTTATGTATGTAGTTTGATAGATGTTAGAAACCATAAACTGAATTTGCTACTAAAAATGATTGTGTATCAAATTCTGCGAAGTCTCTAAACATTTTAGCAAAATTTTTTGCAGTAAAAGTTTTTAATTCATTAACATCCATCAAACAAAATAGACTAAAAAATTCATTAATCTGCATCTAATTATTGGTGATGTTTTTAAAAAAGTCATTTTTATTTTAATAAAATTTATTGCCATTTATCTCAAATTGTTTAGGTGGCATGTTTATCATTACAGTCACATTTTATATTTTTGTTCTTCTGATACTTTATCTTTTTGTTAATAAAAGGGTTGTCATGACTTTTTATGGTTTCCTCTGAAATTTCTTCCTTCTGAAAAATAAAAATATTCATTCAATTATATTAATTGCTCTTAGTTGTATTCAGGGATGAGATTCTTCCGCGGATTTCCGCTTTTTTTTTTCAGATTTTTCCATTTTTCCCTCTGATTTCCGCTGAAATTTTTTTTTTTTTGCACAAGTTAAAATGTTTTATGAGGAATTTAATTTTCCACAGAGGGAAATTATTGAAGTCTCTTTTCCTCCCTCTGAAGTTTCTCTAAAAATCATTTCCTTGGGATAAAACTGGTTGACCTTTATACAGGGATGAGATTTTTTTTTGTCTCTCGAATTTCAGCCTTTTTATCAAAAACTCCATTTTCTAAAAGTTTCGTTTTTTTTTAATAAATATCCCGTTTTTTTTTAAATTCAGTCATTGAAGTAAAATAATTATATTTATTTACGATTTTCAAAGATAAACAGAAAATTCAATCTACGCCCTAGCTGCTAATTCTTCCCCATTTTTACTTATTTTATCTATTTTCTCCGATTTCACGCACAGAAAATAAGATTTTCCGTATTTTTTATCCGTCGGCTGGATAGCTCGTATTTTCGTAATTCAGACATCGCTGCTTATTCTGACGTGAAAACAAACAAAAAAAGAGGGAAAAAATAGAGGTGGATTTGCGGTGAAAATATACAAACAAGGCTTTTAGAAATCACAAGTCCAGACTCTTCAAATATCTCGATTTTTATTCACGCGATTTTAATATCAATCATTGATTTTCGTATTTACCTGATTTAAAAGTTGCGCATTGAGATTCTTATTTACGCTATTTAAATATCGTATATTATGATTCTTATTTACGACATTTAAAAATCCAATATCGTGTTTTGTATTTATGCATTTTTAAAGTCGCGATTATATGATCAAATCTCGATTTTCGTATTTACCTGATTTAAAAGTTGAACGTTGCGATTCTTATTCAGGCGATTTAAATATTGTACATTGCGATTCTTACTTATGAGATTTAAAAAATCAATATCGCGATTTGTATTTACGAGCTTTTGAAGCCCTATGTAGCAATTCGTATTCACGCGAGCTTAAAATCCAATATCGTGATTCGTTTTTGTGATTGTAATATCGCGCGATTTAAAAATTATGCATCGTGATCAAAAAATTAAAAAATCATGATTTGTATTTTCGCATTTTTNTTTTTTTTTTTTTTTTTTTTTTTTTTTTTTTTTTTTTTTTTTTTTTTTTTTTTTTTTTTTTTTTTTTGGATTTCCTCTTTTTTACTTTCTGACTACTCTCATCCCTGGTTGTATTATCAGTAAGCAAAACTAAAAATGGAAACTGGTTCTAAGGATAGGATTTTCACATACTAATGCACAATGTTAATAGTTTTGGAGATCTACTTAAATATAAAGATTAATTAGGACAGAAGATAATTTTACATTATAAAGTCTCAAAGCTTAAAAAAAATACTAAAAATTTATAGTGTGTGGTTTGTGCAATTTGTGAGTTGTTTCAATAATTAACCCTTTGACACAGAAATTTATTAAACATATTTTTTATACTTTTTTCATTATTTTGTATTAATTTTACATTTAGCATTTTAATAATTTATGATTAAGACATAAAACATTTGTGCCTTTGTGTTAAAGGTAATATCTTTCAAACCCAACTCTCTTCCAAACAAATTTTTTTTAAGTTAGCAGTTATTTAGATCTAAGAGAAACAGTTATTCATCATTGAAATTTCTTTAATTTACAAAATCAATTATTGATAAATTTTTAAATATGAATAGAAATTAGAAATTTCAAACTTTTTTAATATTTTGGTGCACATGTAATTCTTATAATCTAACAGATTGTATTGGTAACTATTCGACTTTTTTTATAACTAAAAATACCAAAATATATTTTTGCTTGTAATTCGATAATTAATGTGCTGGAATATTATATATAATTGGGACTCCTATGTTCATTCTGAATCAAAGAGTTAAGTCAGGTGAGCGATCTAAAATTTAGAGCTTTTTATCTTTTTACATATATTTCTGAAACTATTCATATAAATCAAAAACTTTTTGAACAAAACATTAAAGTGTGTTTATTAAAAGAAAGTTTCATGCAATAATTATTTTAAAAAAATGATTAAAAAAAATTTTATATTTAAAATTTTGAAGAACAACCAATTCTATTTGCATTTTATGATTTAAAATTATATAGTTTAAATATTTATGTACCTTATTAATCACAATTATTGTAAGCATGCATCAATAAATTGATGCAATAGTTATAAATTTTACACAGAATTATTTTTGGATATAAAAGATTTATGCCTATTCGAAAAGTGAAATTAACCGTAAGTGTTATAAATGTTTGAGTACTCTTCTGAATAAACTACTGATAAGTTTATTAACTTGCTTCCGTTAATTTGATGTTGGAATTTGCAATTAAAATTTTTAAATTTTAACTAAAACTCTAATGATTGACAATTGTTTCCTAAATAATGGACGCGAAATTTTAAACACTTTTTAACATAAACTAAGATGCAAAACTAGATGAATTTTAGCATATGTTTTACAAGTGGAGGAACTTTATATTTTATTCATGCATTTGGAGATCGTTGCCTTCATTTTAAGAACATAGTAAAAGCACATTAATTGAATGCAAAAAATAATTTTAAATATTTAACAACGATTGAATTCTTTCAGAATTTTAAAGACATCAAAAATTTTACTCTAATTAAAATACATAATATAATGTGTCAAAATTCAGACTCTGAAATAATTGTTTTTAATAGTTTGGAAACTATTATTTTTCTAGAAATGTAATAAGACTTAGGTGGTATGAAGTTAAAAAATTTCTAGTGTGTAAAACCTTTTTACTGAAGAATATTGATTCATTCTCTTCGTGCATGTATAAACTGTGCAAAATACTCTTTAATTGATCAAGACATACCATATTTAGTGGAAAATGTAAGTGTTTATCAAGTTCTAAAATGAATTAAAATCTTAAAACAAATTTTTAATGGTACCACCCAGGTAAATCTTATACTAATTTCTTTATAAAAAAAATATTTTTGCTATTAGAGTTAAATGTGTCTGCTTTAGCACGTTGCACTATTTCCGGGTGCCAAATTTAAATGTAAGGTCATAATGTTTGTACACTGAAAGTTTCATTTATAGTCTTATTTTAAATAGTTGCTATACCGGCTAATGCAATTAAAATTTTCTACTCACGGTTCTGTTCGCTTTCGTGCAGGTGAAAGTTGAATCTTCTATCAAAATTGTAAGAACTTTCTTCCTGCTGATATACACAAAGCAGAATTCCGATCTCTGTTAGCTTAAATTTAACTTTGATTTCCTGACTGTGTGAGCAGAATTTATTGCTGTGTATCATCATAAAGAATTTATCGCCAGTCCGATAAAACAGCATAAGCAGAATGGTGGTAACAGTGTTCAAAACTAAATTGAAGCTCTGATGGATAACAATTTCATCATGCAGAGAAAATAAATTGAATTTTTATTTTTTTATCTTTTGAATTCTTTTTCAAATGGTATTAATCATCAATCGAAATTTTTATCATTTTCTGACACCAAAAAATTTAAAATCCGACAACAAAGAGAATTACCTGCTTTTTTCTTGTAGACTAAAAACTATGGAAATATTTCATTTTTGTCACACATTACCATTAATTATCTCCCTTCCCACTCACATCTCTTTTCATTTTAGGTATGACAGAAATGAAAATCTTTTCTTCCTTGTTAGTCTATTTGTCTTTATTGGATTATGTAACTGTTTAGTTTGGTTGTTGGCCCGAGGATAACTTTTTGTTGAACATTTTCACTTTTGAATATTTTTAACCATATCTAATAGAATAATGCTGCCCCATATTGAGCTACTCCAAAAGATTAAGTCAACTTTATATCTATTCAACTTATATTCTAACTCAACAATAAAATCAACTTATTAAATTGAAATTGAACTTAATCTCGACTTGGAATCACTACCCCCAGAGGTATGATTTGTTATGGGAGTTCTTCGGTCGGCGGGGATCGAACTCACGAACTGTTGGACATGGGCCCAGTGCCCTACCAACCAGACAATCTCGGATCCCTTGGTTTGCAATATTTTGCAGGTGGGGCCTAGGTTTGTGTAATCAAAAATCTGTCACCTCATAATTTTATGCATATAATGTCGGAATTGTACACAAGTTTTTTTTTTTGTTTCATAATTCATCATTGCAAAGCTGCGTAGAAATATTTTTCTTTTCTTTTTTTCCCCTATTTTTGGAGGGAATTAATTTGTAAGGGAACCCTTGGTCTCAAAATTTTGTAGTTGGGGCCCCGGTTTGTAAACTCATAATTTTATGCACATGCATTAGGGTGAAGATGCAGTTCCTATCATTATTTAAATTGTGACGCACTTAAGTAGCGTCAGACTTATTCATTAAATAAAATTCTAAATAAATATTATATTCGTGAAGTCAATAAAAAAACAAATTACGATAAAGTATGTTTTAAAACTGTATTTATTTTATTTAAATGCTTATTTTTTTGTTCAAAAGGACATGTGTTCAGAGCGCCCAACCTTTAAGGAAGGCCCCCCACTTTTGCTGAACCAAGGAGTTATCGCTTTTTGATGGCTATTTCAGGTGACTGTATGTTTAGCATATTACTGCATATTTAGCCAATTTGCATGAAAAAGTACGTTTTTTAAATAGTAATTTACTGGATGTACGGAATATTGATAACTAAAGAAAATATTATTTTTTTATATCTTCATAAACGTTTAAATGCTCGCAAAATGTTTGTTCAAACAAAAATTAAATTTCCTCAAAAAGCGCCAAATATTTTTTGTTTATTATTTATTATCAGGAACTTTTGCATTCGTTTTTACCCGGGGGAAAAGTTGCCAAGACCCTAAATTCTATTCATAGAGGTCCGTTAAATCTGGGCCCGGCTGACAACTAGTTTGAAATCACACCTATTTCAAAAGAAGACTGTTTAGAAATAAAGATAACATATTAAATCAAAATTCCTTTGCAAGTATTAGGAAACCTATCATAATAGACTGTAATAAAATTGTAAAACTTTTAACGAGCTGTCGTTATAAGATTTTAACGAGGGAGATTGACAGTATAAAAATGAGAGCAGATTTCAGATCTCATTATCTTTCAATTATTGGAAGTTTTTAAAAATGTCACCACGAAAATTGATGTTTTTGATTTTGATGCTGTGCGTCTTCACTGCTAGTGGTATGTATCGCTTTATTTTTATGTGAAGAAAAATTGCAGTTTAAGAAAACGTTGCTTCATATTCAAAAGCATATGAAAAACAGTTTTTGTTCTTGTAAAATAGGTTCAAATTAGTTTTCCAACTTTATATAACTATATTCCCTCTACTGCTGGTAAATACATTGAACACCTTTTAAATTGAATAGAAATGATTTAAAATTTTACTAAAAAAAATCTTAATTCCCTTTTCATTGCAAGTACAATCCATGATAAACTTCCTTTAAGCAAAACTTTTCCCAGAGTCCTTTGAACAAAATTTGCAATGTTACATCGTTTTTACTTGGTGAAGAAATTACATTTTTATCATTTCTGGTTTTTGCAAATCAGTAGAGCTGCACTTGTTGCCCGTATAAGGAATCTTAATCCTTGGCGGTCAGACTTTACCACTATTTTTCTACTCTCAGCTTTTTCTTTACCGTTTCAATCGCATGTCTATATTTAGCATACATGCCAATTCAGAAAAAGTAATTCTCAACCAACAATAGAGAAAAAGTAGTAGCGAATTCACTTAATTTGTTTAATTTTAACTGCCCACAGAAAATTTTAGTGAATCAATAACTATATATTTATTTAAATTGTTTAGATATAGTAGTGGTCAAAGTTGTTTAGAAAATTAAATAGTAAAAGCATACAATTTACTACTTCTTTAAACATTCAAGAAAAGTCCCTTACCAAAAATTGGCAAGTGTAGTTCTCAGCCAATACTGGGGAGAAACCTACTGATCTTATATTTTTAAATATTAATGTATTACTTTAAAGAATTAACAACGAATTATTATGATTAAATAATGATAGTGCTCTAAATACAATAAAATGTAATAACTATTCTTAAAGAGTTATTTTAATTGAGGATTTATAATTTAGAAACATCGCAAATTTTTAAGTAAGATTTTCGCAAAATTTAATTATTTTAAAATCATAAAACTAGCATTAATTGTATTAAATTAGGTCGGTAGATAATTAGATATTATTCACCTAATTTGATCACTAACATTATTTTTATTCATTAATTTATTTATTTTCGACTTAATAAGTATGCTTTTGCGAATAGTTATAATAATAACGATATTATAATAAAATCTAAGTAGTTAAACTTATTATAAGTTTTTTTATTGAAATTCATATTTAACTAGAACTATTTCAGACCGAAAGCGTGAGTTTCAAACAACTTAACGTAGAAAGAGTTTACATAATTGTATTTAAAAATGGATATTTCATCTCAGATTTTTTAGCTTCAATGATAAATCTCTCCTTCATAAATTTATTAATTTCAGTGTGTTTTTTTTAATTTATCTTACATAAATTTAGAATATTTAAAACAATATACCTTTTTTATTGCTTAAAAATAAACCTTTTTAAATCAAACAAATAACTTTATTCCAACTTTTTTGAAGAAAAAAAAAGATTTATTGTATTTTTAATGGAACATAAATGAACGTAAGATTTATAGAACTGATTGATTTTTAAAATTCATTCTGAGAACATAAAAATAGAAAGAATGACCAATCCAGAAGCAAAGACGAATAACGCTATATATATATATATAGAAATAGTAATTTACTGGATGTACGGAATATTNTATATATTATATATTAGGATATTAGCTTCTATTAGTTTAATTTCACAAAGCGATTGCTAGAGACAAAACACAATAGTATTTACCCACGTTGGATATTACTAATAAAAATTATAATAAAGGTAAGAAGTTCGATCCAAGAAACCCTTGAACAGTTTTACAGAATGTGAATATCTTATTATTTAAGTCATGTGGGTTTAATTTCCTGATCAAAATGTGAAGAAATACATTGCAATATTATAAATATTCTACAATATGAAAAAAATGCTTATTAAAATTTAGTATGTTATATGTAATAATAAAGTAACAGAATTTTTTTTTTTATTATTATTTTTAAGTGAATTTTTTTTTTTTTAATGTTTCATCATATTTATGAGTTTACTTTCTTCTAAACTACTTAGTTCTAAATAAAAATTCTAATTCTAAATAAAAATTCCATTTTCTGGCAATATTTAAAGCTCGGACATATAGTGGAGATTAAATACACTGATAAAAACATGAACGGTATTTTTTTTTTTGTAAAAAAAATAAAAAATAAGTAAAAGTATGTATCCTTATTAAATGCTAGCTGAATACCCGTTCTTCGTTAGGAGGTGGGGAAAAAAAAAGCAAACAATGATTGTATTGGTACTGAACAACACTACGAAATCATGCACAAAATTAAAAGACATATACTAACACAAAAGATAGCACTAAAATAATAATAAAAAATTTCCCGTGTTTTTAGGTTATTAGATTTAGAAAAACATGCTTTTAGGAATTCGTTCCATCAGAATTAAAATTAACTGTATTCGATATCATTTGGCATCATATCATGGCATCTCATGATAATCATCAATCTCATGATAGTCAAAATTTACCACAAGCAAGTGATTTACTCCGGTATACATTCCTCTAGAGCGGCCATATAAAACCCCTTTCAACAGTATCTGCATTAAAGTTTCCAGATATTGATGCAGTTTTAATAGGTGTCAATAATACTAACGTAATGCATTGTACAACATATTACATATTTGGTACCCATTGAAACTGCACCAATTATCTTAATACCAGCTAAAAATAAACTGCTTAAAATTTGAGCAATTGACTGCGGTGATTTAGCCGATTCCGCTACAGAATTTTTGGGGTCGAAGAACTACAAAATTATGGCAGTTTTTAAATTTTTGTAATTTTGTAGAGGTAAAGCAATCAAAAAATCTACATTAACTGTGCAGCTATATTAATCTCAAAAATTCTGCTGTAAACATGTAGTTGTATTAATATTGGAGTATATTAGGCTTTAAGTTAGGTATGGACTTTGTAGTAAGTTGGTTGAGTATTGTCAAATGAACAGTGGAATGTGGCTTAAATAGTTTATCTGGTGGTGTCATCTGTCGTGAGTGATGGGAAATACAAGACATTTTATATTAAGCTGGTATATAACAAAATATCGGCATATAACAAAATTAATTAAGCAACATTGGCATCAATAATAGTATGGCAATTTTCCACACTTCTCGTAGAAGAATTAGTAACATATTCTCCATGAATTCTGTTTCTTAATTAGAAACTTTTTTTTTAATTTCAGTTAGTACCTAATACCAAAATTAATCAAGAATCATTTTCGTCAATTATAGTACGGCGAATTTTTACGTTTCTCCTAAAGGAGTAAGTACTTTTTGGCCATTAATTTGGCTTATCAGTGCATAAATTAATATTTGTTTCAATTAGGTAGATTTTAAATTACTTAATTTTATTGAAGCACACTTTAAAAGCGTGACTATGGACAAAATAAACACATGGTTTCCGATTAATTCAGGAATACTAATTTAGTGTCCACCTATGTACACCCACTTTCACGGTGATCATTGAGTTAATTTGAGATGAGATATAAAAATAATTTAATAAAGAACAAGCAATAAATTCCTTTTTTAATGACAGCTCTAACTAGAAACAACACTGATGTTATCTTTAGTGTATTTGATACGAAAATGAATCATCTGCAATTTAGTTTTTATCAATGAAAGTGTTACAAACCAATAACAAAATTCCTAGAGTCCAGCCAAAAATTCCAATCTAAAAACCAAAGTCTGTAAAAGACAGGCAGATAGACATTCATTCATTTTTATTTAGAAAAGATTTTTAATTCTTTCATCACAATTTCTTCGTTTCAGCGTACGCCGCTTGTTCTTGCAAGAAAAAAGGCAACAAAAATGGTGGTGGAGGTTCTGGAGGCGGTGGCAAAAATGTTGGCGGTACAAATGGTGGCGGTGGTTCAAGTGGTGGCGACAAAAGTACGTTACATGTTTATTTTAAGCCAATCTCATCTCTAATCAAATCCAATTTTATGTGACATATACTAAAGGAAATTCCTAACAAAGTACCATTTTTTAAAAATTTAATACCAACATTTTTGTTTATTTATATATTAGGCATTTTTCAATTTTCTACGAAACTATATACATATCTAGTAAATACCCGCCTCGGCTTTTTTGTGGCACATTAATGTTCTTTTTGATAAAATTTTCAGAGTTCGATATAACTAAAGTTGGATCTACTTACTGAGTGTCCCAAAAATTACTGAAGATTTACAAAATAAATTAAAGATAAACGGAAGCACATGGAAATGAATGGCTTGCTGCGTTCTTCTTAGGAAATTAGAGAAATTCCCATCGATTTTCAAAATTAATTATAAAGTTTGTGGTACCGCCCAGTCGCTAACTAAGAAAATCTATAAGACTATATGTTTTTAAAATAGCTTCCAAACGGCCGGGATAGCCTGGTCGGTATGGCGCTGGGCCCAAGTCCGAGAGTTCGTGGGTTTGAACCCCGCCGGCCAAAGATTCCCCGTGTAATGGTGACTGATGCACGTTAAATTTGTCAAGTCGCAAAGTTTTCCATGTTCCCATAACAAATTAATACTTCTGGGGGTACTGGATTGGAGATCGTTCGTTCTCTGATTCAGGTCAAAATTACGATCTGTGGATGGATGAATGGGGCCGCCCTATAAAACGGGCTGTGGCGTGTTTGTGGCTGAAGACGAATTCTTGGCCATAGGATGGCGCCACTGAAAAACAAGAAACACACACTCTGCCTTAAATTTGTACGATTTCACCAAACAGGCTTGCCCGTGTGGCAAGTGGCATTAGAAACAACAACAGCAACAAAATAGCTTCCATTTGCAGAAATGATCGGACACAGTCTGATTCGCGATCGCAACGCTCGAATACGCCATCAGAGGGAGAAGACCGGTTCCATGTCAGTGCCGTAACTTCACCCCTCGGGGCCCTGGGGCAAACATTTTTGGCGGGGCCCTTTCAAAAACTTTCAGTACTCCATCTCTAACCGTCATTTTAGCTATTTATGTATTATGTTGGCAACTATATTTATGAAAACAAGTTATTTGTACGCATATAAATTGGATTACAAAACATTGTAAGTTTTAAACATGACAAAATGCAAACTTTCAGCGAAAGCGGGGGTGCCATCCCCTCTACAAAGGATCAAGCCTCAAGGGATGTTTCCCAGACCGTCGCCAATAGCCAATTGTGCAGCACTATAGTGCGACGTAAATGATCAACATCAGACTATTATTAAATAAAAAATGATAAATATTTACTAAATACTAAAAGTTATTTTTTGCATGGAATTATCTTTAGATAACATCATCTNTTGACTGGAAAACATTTGCTGATACATAATTAATTAGGAGTGGGAGTTTATTATCTTCAGCAAGATTAGGCACCTTTGACAAAAAGTTTTCGAAAGTTTTCTTCCAATGAAGTCACTTATTTTCAGCGTTAGCACACGTGGGGTCGAAGTCGAAACGTTCCGGTTTCAGAAAATTTTCCATAACGATGAATACCAGTACTCACATTTACCAGAATATAATTTTGTTAATTAAATTGTTTTTTTTTTTTATCCCAATGGCAGGCACTGAATTTTGAATCTTTTGCCTATACCAGGGGTGTCCAACTGGCGGCCCGGGGGCCGCATGCAGCCCGCGGAGCCTTTTTTGTGGCCCGCGATCTAAAATATATTAGCTGTCATTTTTTGCTGACAATTTTCGTAAAAAATCTATATGGGGGTAAAATACTTTTCTCGTTAATAAAAGTCTAATTTCTTCGTTTCTGTGAAATTTAACATACCAACGGTGAAAAAAAAAATTTCTCAGGTTTTGCATCCAAGAAAATATTTATTCAAACACAAAAATAACTGTGTGTGTTGTTTTATTTTATTTAATTTTTTTTTGTATTTTGTGAATATAATTTAGCATGTGCGTATCAGAAATTTTCTCGAAGAAATTCTCCAATTTAACTTTTTGAAACCACTCACTCATTTAGAACGAAAATATTTACACACACATTTGTAAATTTTAAATGCAAATATCTATTCTCTGGTGGTTGCAAACCTCAATCCTCTCATTGAACATGTTGTATGTTACTATGTAAGTTTTAATACCAACCTTTTTAAAGTTTTATATCTTAATTAGATGTCTGTTGCACATTAATTGTTTAATACATAAGTGCACATTAAAGTTATTGTAGCCCAAATTTTTATTATTTATTTAATACTTTAAAAATATTATTAATAACAATTAAGTATTTTTAAAAATCTACTTCTTATTTTAATTTGTAATACAATACTTTTGTTTTGTACAACTTGATAAAAATCTGACAGTAATATTTAATGTTCCTTCAAACATAAAAAGAGTCCTACATAAAATTTTGACAAAGTTGCGGCCTGCCATTTGATTTGTGTTTTTAATTGTGGCCCTCGGCCTCATGTAAGTTGGAAACCCCTGGCCTATACTATGCCAGAATTGTTGCTCATTTCGCGTTACCCAGTGGGCACCTGTGAACCAAAGTCACGGAGGCTAGCAACATTGCCCACGCCACACTGCCACAAACCCGTTTACAGGGTGGGCCACATTCACACATCATACACACACACAACAGAGGACAGCACAAAGACAGAGAGAAACATCCATGACCAGAGCGGGATTCGAACACGCAGCCTATGGCTTCGCAGTCAGGCACGCTAACCGCTCGGCCACCTGGCCGGTTTAATTAAATTGTTGTGATAATCAATAGGAAGTTAGCCTGGTCGGTAGGGAGCTGGGCCCATATCCAAGAGGTCGTGGGTTCGATCCTCGCCGGCCGAAGACTCCCCGTGTGGTAAATGGTGACTGATGCACGTTAAATCTGTCGAGTCTCAAAGTCCTCCATGTTCCCANGTTTTCGAAAGTTTTCTTCCAATGAAGCCACTTATTTTCAGCGTTAGCACACGTGGGGTCGAAGTTGAAACGTTCCGGTTTCAGAAAATTTTCCATAACGATGAATACCAGTACTCACATTTATCAGAATATAATTTTGTTAATTAAATTGTTGTGATAATCAATAGACAGTGTAGTTGTTAATAAATATAACAGAATATCACCACAGTTAGTTTTATGAAGCACACTAAGAATTAACTTCATTTCTTCAAACTCTTTTATTAAAATAACTCATATGGCACAGAGCATGATATTTTATGACACAGTTGCCTTTTTGCATGTTTTTTTAATTAAGGAATGGAGTTATAATTGAAAAGATTATAGTAGAACATGAGACGTTTTAGAAGATTTTACGTTGACCAAAGTGACATTTTAGAGTATTTGTGGAAATAACATTAGGAATGTATAGAAAAATCATTCGTAATATTCAGTAACTCTAATTAAAAATTTCATTTAAAACCTAAAATTTTGAACGACCTTCATTTAGTTTTATTTAAAAACATTTATGCTTCACTTAAAAAAATCACATTGTAATTTATTTACACATATTTTTAAATTAAAAAGTAGTCCTATTCTAGAAAATAATACTTATTGTTTAAAATTATAGAATTATTCCATTACAGCGTTATCTATAAAATACGCTTGTACACACGATGCATATACGTGTCATGTGTATAAAATACGTATGAAACAAGAATGTAGTTTTGTTTAATTCATAAATACAAAGTTCAAGTGTCATTTTGTATTACAAATATTTTTCTTTTTTATCTCCCATTTTTTATGAGGAACTCCCACGACTTAAACGTTAATCGAAAGGTATTATTGTTCTCTTTTACACAAACTGAAGTGTTGTTTATTATATTAATTTAAATAGTGACATGTCTGATATATATACATACACAATATAATATACAAGAATGCTACAAATTACAATAAAATATAGTCAGTAAACTTCGGGACCCAGTTCGTAATGCGCATGTAAGAAAGTGGACAGGACATAGCATTTGTTAGGTGATTTCGTTTTCCTTATGTGATCTCTTCCATTTGCCTAAATCACTTAGTATACCTATTAAAGTTTGTTTTTTTGGAAAAGGTATTAATAGTGAACAGTTCTTTTTAATAAGGATGTGACAGGTCGGTTAAAATTATATTAGTGGCATTGTTCGATTTTTAAATTTTTTAAAACCACTCAGTCGTTTAGTGCTCTGAATACGAAGAGATGTTTGAAAAGTTACGTCAGCAATAAACTTTGCAGACCTCGAAGTCCGGAATTTTCTACCGTAAATTATTATGTTATACTTAAAGTGTTACAAAAGGAGGAGAAAGTAAGTACGAAATTTCTCGTTTAGCTTTAAATTTTCTGTGTCCATATCCTTATACACGTATTTTATGCTGTATCCATTCTCTTAAACACGCATTTCAAGCTGTGTCCATTTTTTTTCTTGAACTCGTATTCTAGCTCAGTCCACCTCCATTTCCTGAAACACGCATTTACAACTGTGTTTAAAAAAAAAAAAAATTTTAAAAATTCACCGATGATTTTTTTTCTTAAACTTTTTGAATACATTTTTCTATTTGGACATGAGATCATCTTAAAAGAGGGTCCACCATAAATAGCTAATGCCCAGAGGCTGATAGCAATTTTAGATGAATGACCTGAGAGATGTTAATGAAATACTTAAGTATAAATTAATTTTATTAACATCAAAGTAAGTGTTTTTCTTTTAATTTTCAACAATTTNAGGTATTATTGCTCTCATTTACACTATCTGAAGTGTTGTGTACTATATTAATATATACTATATTAATATATGTATATAGTACTATATTAATATATGTATATAGTACTATATTAATATATGTCTGGTATATATATACACACACGATGTAATGTACAAGAATGCTACTAATTACAATAAAATATAGTCAGTGAGCTTCGGGACGCAGTTCGAAATGCTCGTGTAAGAGAGTGGACAGGACATAACATTTGTTATGTGATTTCGTTCTCGTTATGTGATGTCTTCCATTTGCCTAAATCACTTAGTATATTAATTAAAATTAGTCTTTGAGGAAAAGATATTAATAGTGAACAGTTCTTTTCAATAAGGATGTGACAGGTCCGATGAAATTATATTAGCGGCATTGAATTGACGTTGCTTGATTTTAAATTTCTTAAAGCCACTCAGTCGTTTTGTGCTCTGAATACGAAGAGATGTTTGAAAAGTTGCATCAGCAATAAACTTTGCATTTTCTACCGTAAATTATTATGTTATACTTATAGTGTTACAAAAGGAAGAGAAAGTAAGTACGAAATTCCTCGTTCAGCTTTAAATTTGCTGTGTCCATTTCTTTATACACGTATTTTATGCTGTATATCCATTCTCTTAAACACGCATTTCAAACTACGTCCATTTTTTTTCTTGAACACGTATTCCAGCTCAGTCTGCATCCATTTTCTGAAAAACGCATTTACGGCTGTGTTAAAAAAAAATTTAAAAAAACGCTCACCGATGTTTTTTTCTTAAACTTTTTGAATACATTTTTCTATTTGGACATGAGATATCTTAAAAGAGGGTCCACCATAAGTAGCTAGTGCCCAGAGGCTGATAGCAATTTTAGATGAATGACCTGAGAGATGTTAATGAAATACTTAAGTATAAATTAAATACTTAAGTATAAATTAATTTTATTAACATCAAAGTAAGTGTTTTTCTTTTAATTTTCAACAATTTAATAAAGCTTATATCATGCTAAAACAATGTACATTAAAAAAATGCAATTACATTAAGCATTTTGTTAATTTTTCCCCACAGGTTATAATGGAGCTCTGATCGACATACCGGTATTAAGTCAAGTTTCTCAATGAAAAAAATGTTTGGATTACAATAGATCATTACAACGAGACAATGTGTAACAGCATAATGAAATTTTACTTATTTTTCTTTCAATTTTGTAATTGTGCAAAGAAACAAATCTAAATTTCAAAATGTAATGAACAAATAAATTCTTCCATGTACTGTAAGAGATCAAGAAAATTGTTTATTGAACTTATTTTAATAAAATGAAATTTTATTTCGATTTGTTGCAACTTGCTGAAGAAAACAGAGATTTATACTTTTCAAATTTATAAATAAATCAAGAAAATAGTTTATCGAACTTTTTTTTTATAAAATAATTTTATTAGGTTTGTTAAAACGTGCTTAAAAACCAGAGATTTATTATCATCAAATTTCAAAATTAGTTACAAATTTCGACAATAGATGGTATTGCTAATGGGAAGAACAATAAATCAACGTTTTCTGCTGCATTATAGACCGAAATATTTGCACTGCCGTCTGTTAGTCTTCAAACTGCACCAAGTTATTGCAAATGGTGGTCATTTGAAAAAGAATGTTACATTAATTTTCTTTGTTCCTAACAACATCTGTTAGCGAACTTTGTAACTAATATTGAAACATGATGAGAAAAAGTATCTAGTTCTTTAAGCAGAACATGGGGAATCGTACATGAAGTAATGCACTTATAAATGAATTTAATCGTACTAAAACAGGGTTATTTTTTTCTTCTACAGGTATAGGAGGTGGTCTGCTCAGCGTGCCAGTATTAAGTCAAATTTCTCAAAATGAAAATTGATATTGGATTTGCATTAACTGTCGATTGTTGCAAAGTGTTAGAACATTAATAGAATTTTGACATAAATTTTAACTTTTCTCTCAAGTTTGATTTCCTTATTTCCAAAAGACTTAATGAATTCCAAAATGTGATAAATTAAATAAATTCTTGCATACATATTGTTAAAATATAAAATTGCGTATTAAAATTATATATATGAGCATACATTGCATACAAGCACAAATGCCAAATAGAAGCTGATTGCTGTATACATATTTTCGATTTTTAATTTTTGTTTGTAATCATACGTACGATAAAACGAAGTAAATATTGAAACGCTTATTAGAAGAAATTTGAAACTATGAATAACATACAAAAAAGTTACAGTATGAGAAAACATTTAAACAATTCCTACTACGCGTTAATTTTTGAATTTCTTAAAAACTAATGGAAATTCTTCCCTAAAAATGCTAGAACTGTTTACGCATAACATTAATTTTGCTTTTTCTCACCTCTCTCTTTCTTTCTTTCTTTTTAACTGAATATTTTTAATCTCTCAAATTAACTACTAGTGCAAAATTGCAATTTATCTTCACATTACTTGATTAAAAATCTCTCAAATATACAAATTGTAAATAAATAGTCGACATGTTTCAATCTCTCAAAAATAGGCATCCATTTTCAAGATTTTCCATACGCATTATCAAATGTCTTTATTATCATACATTTTTTGGAAATTTTTAATAACGTTTTCTTTTTTTTCTTTCAATTCCTAATAGTAAAAGATATTTTAAAATGCACCTACACTGATACAACACTAATTTTAATTGCACAAGACGTTGCTAGTTTTTATTTGATTAGGTGCATCAATTTATTTAACTATTGTTTTATTTAAGCTTCAAAACTGCATAATTAAGATCTTAAAAGACTAATATTTTCTGTTCCAAGTTAAATGTTAAGTTTCTCATACGTAATTCTGTCAGAAATCAGGTCAAATGTTTTTATATTTTTCCAAACATTAAGATTCTCTTAAAAGTTGCTATTAGAAACCATAATTGCAAAGTCCAACAAACCAACATTTAATTTTTTTTCTTTCTTTTTTTTACTAATTTGATACTGGTAATGCAAATGAAGATAATTTAATCAATAAATATTGAAAAGTGACGATAAAAAATAACAAAATGTTTTCTGCAGTAAGTTTTGGATTTTTATTATGAAAATTAATGTTTATAATAGCTTCAATTTAAAAAAAAACAATTATCTTAAAACAGAGGTGCCAACTTTCCAAATTAGTTTTTCGTAATCAGAAGTATAGTGCCCCAAAAAATAATTACTCTGAACAATTTTTCTTTCAAACAGCGAATCTTCACATGCTAACACTCAATCCTAATTGTTTGAGAGGGTGACTTCAAACATACTAAATAATTAGTATTGCGGAATTAAATACAAAATTATACTTTCCAGGAATAAGCATATAGTTTGTCTAAAGTAAGAACTCCCTTAGACATTCGTCTTGAACCGTGACTTTGACTATGATAACGAGTTATTAGTATTTCAAGTGGGGGTGTGGGGTCATTGTTTTGACTTGGGTCAGCGAGAACAAGGGAATCTTTTTTCTTTCTTTTTTGGTGTTAGCTTTAGAGTGAATACAAGCTACCCTCCCTGAAATGCGCTATTGTTTCCATAGCAGCATACGGCCTTAGACTTTGTAACTGGGGTAATTCTTATCATGGACAAACTGTACCTTTTATTCAACTGATTTGGATTTTTGTCCCTCAAAACATGTCGAGAAGCCGTAATTTTATATTTTATTTCATAATCGTCGTTGATCAGCCGACCCAAGTTTGATTTTACGACTACAAATGTTCTCCCCCGTAGCCTTGTAATTTTGAACCCAATCCAGAAGACAAGAGAACTTCTGGATCAAGTATAGGGAGAAATTTGCTTTTGCGGAAGACTTTTGGATGCAACTAACCCGCATTTATGTAACATTGAGAGGAAAACCACGAAAATCTCACATGGTTAGCCTGACGGCAAGATCTAACCCATGATCCGTCTACCACGGAGGGGGCATTTTATGTCGGCACTGTAATTGATGCTAGCCGATTCGTATCGACCAGTCATCGCTGGGATAGTAATTTTTTAAATAATTAATTATTATTTTAGTTAATAAAAGTAGAAAAATTGTGAAATGTATCCCGAGGCAAAATTCTTGATGGTACCTTCAATGGATTTTGACGGTTTACGTTGATTTCAAGATTCCTGATGGTCCGACAAACTCCCATCATTACAAAATGGAAAATGCTGTTTTAATACTATGATGGTAAATCATCACGGTATGTTTGATTTTTGATTAACCATATCAGCAACTATCACATTTTAATAGCGGATGTTGTTTCACCATTATGAAGGTGTACCAGCAAATTATGTTTATAATTGTTGGACCAACAACAATCATCAAAATTTGATGGAAAATGTTCGATGGTCCACCAACAAGCTGTGTTTATTAATATTGGACCAACAAACAACCATTGAACTATGATAGATGTTGTTTTACTATTACGATGGTACAAACAATATGTCATATTTATTATTGTTGGACCAATAACAGCCATTGAAATAAGATAGAACATGTTGTTTTACTATTATGATGGTTAACCAGTAAGTTATGTTTGTTATTGATGTGCCAACAACAACCATCAAAATAAGATGGAAGATGTTTTACAACTATGTTAGTGAACAAGCAAGTTAGGTTTATTATTGTTGCGCTCACAACACTCAGAAGCCATTAAAATGTGGTGAAAAGTGATTTTTTGCTATAATGATGGTCAACTAACATGTTATGTTTATTGTGTTTGTTGAACCAAAAAACAAATATCTAAATATCATGAAATATGCTGTTTTTTATTATGGGCACATACGTCACACTCGAGCATAGTCTCGTGAAGTTTTACTAAAAGTTTCAAAGTTATACTTTAAAGGTCTTAATAGTCATATGGTCAAATTGCAATGAGAAGTTAAAAAAAAATAAACAGCTATTGCAACTACTTTTTCCTAAAAAAGGGGGAAAATATTCCCTCACCACTGAAACTCCCCTCCGCCACATTCTGGAAAGCTTTGCAACCCTACTCCTTTTGTCACAAGGGCAGACAAAAATAAAAAATATTTTCGTCCTTTTTAATCTAACTGAAAAACGTATTAAATTTATTAAATAATGTAGCTGTTTTGCTTAGATGCTGGTTCAAAGAGGATTTTTTGTTGATCATTTTCACATTTGGATATTTTTTTAAACCATATCAAGTATAATAATGCTATTCTAAATGGGTTTATTAATGAGCTAATCCAAAAGATTAACTTAACTTAATCTTTATATCTATTCAGCTTATATTTCAATTCCTTTTATACTTCAATTCAACTTATATCTTGACTCGAAAAATCAACTGATGAAATCAACTAATTAACTTGAATGAAATCAACTAATTAAATTGAATTTCAACTTATATCTTAACTTGGAATGTCCAAATGCCACTGTAGAGAGCGGGATGCTTTCTGAACAAACTAAGCTAACGAAATGTGTTGCTTTTCGATTTATGCAAATTAAAAATGGAGTACATTAAATTGGTATCTCTGTAATGTTTCTAGGATTATAAACTTTTAATACTCTTCGTCTGAACTAAAATTTTATTTCGTTAAATCGGGGCTGCTGGTAATATCGGGATCCAAAACAAAATATTTCTACCCTTGCCTTATGGAACAGTCCTAATATCCAAGAATAAAACTTTCCTCGGCAAGTATTGCGGACTTTTTATTCAGCTGCTCAAAATATAGTGAATTTGGAATAGTTGTTCAGTTCATTGCTCATTGCGTGATTCGATATTCCATTCTTTCGAGTTTTTTTCAATCGTATTTTTAGAATCTGAATCCCAAACGTGTCGCACGAAATACAGAAAGTCTAAATAATCGGGGCTTTGTATCTTTTCCCCACATTTTTGTCCAACTATGCTATAATTTTGCTCATTGGCAATTTTCTATTAATAATCTTTACAAAAGGAATAAGGACTAAAGTATATTTGGCCAATTTGCAAAAGAAAACGTAATTTCTTTTAATTTGCTCATTAAAGCAGCATTTCCCAATTTGTTTCGGTTGTTGAACCCAAAATGATCGATCTCATTTTAGGGGAACCACTAGACTTCGCGAATAAATTTCATTAGCGATTGTTGGCATAGTTATTAACGAAACTATAAGAATTATTCTGAAAATATTCAATGATCTAAATGTTTTTTAGGGCGGTAGGAATTCGGTAGGGTGCTGAGCCCATATCCAAGAGGTCGTGGGTTCGATACTCCCCGGCCGAAGACTCCCCGTGTAGTAAATGGTGACTGATGCACGTCAAATCTGTCGAGTCTCAAAGTCCTCCATGTTCCCACAACAAATCAATACCTCTGGGGGTACTGATCCAGGAGTTTCCTTGTCTTCTGGATTGGTTCAAAATTACAAGGCTACGGAGTTGAACGTTAGTAGTCGTAAACCCATGAAATTGGGTCGGCTGTTCAACGACGGTTATAAAATAAAATACAGTGAACTAACGAAGAATGAAGTTTTTTATCGCATCGTTTTATCAAATTAAGTCTTAAAATTAGGTTTGATGTCAGACAGTTGAATTCACAGGTCTAGAGCATCATCTAGTCCATTTCTTAATTTAATTTTAGTGTGTACATAAACTGAAAATACATGAGCTAAAATTTAGTTTCTGATGAAATAAAAACATAGAACGACAAAAAGACACGTAGAAAATGTTTATCAAAGAAGCATACTTCCTCATGGTTGAGTTTGGTTATTTTTATTCGATGCGAAACGGTAATGCATTTTTTCATAAACGCATATTCTATTCAGAATTCATTCATTACATTGTTATTAGAAAAAAAAATTCTTTCTTCAAAAGCATTTTAGTTAAATATAATTTCATAAAAATAACGGAAATATTAAATAAATAACGGATTACTTATTCGATACAAATTTAGTTAGAAGTTTCTAAATAAAATCATAACTGATTTAAAAAAAGTCCTAACTCTCATAACTCCTGTGACTCTTCCACGGAACCCAAGGGTTCCACGGTAAACCATTTGGGATCCGATGAAATAGAGGAGGAACGGAACATTAATAAATAAGCAAAGACTTTTTCTTTTCGATCTTCATAAACGTTAAAATGCCGCAGAAATTTTGTTCGCACAAAAGCTAAATGTCCTCAAAAACTGTCAATTTTATTATTCGGTAAACAGGAACTTTTGCGTACAATTTTAACCAGGAAAAGGAAAATTCGCCCGAAATTCTATAAATAAAGGTCCAATAAATATAGTTACGACGTAATAACTAGTTTGAAATCACTTATTTCATAAGATAACGATCTAGAAATAGAGATAGAATTAAAGATAAATAAATACCCTTTCGACCATTAGGGAAACTATGTTAATAGACCGTAATAAAATCATTAAACTTTTAATGAGCAAACATTGTAACGGATTTTTAACGAGTAGACCGATAGTATAAAAATGGAAGCAGATTTCAGATCTCATTATCTTCAATCGGGTATTTTCAAATTGGATTGAAAATTTTCAAGTATGTCGCCTCGTAAATTGATGTTTTTGATTTTGATGCTGTGCGTCTTCACTACTAGTGGTATGTATTGTTTAATTCTATGCGAAATAAAAGTACATTTCAAAGATTAGACTAGTGCATATTATAATTTTAATTTTCAAAGTTTTAGTTACTATTAAGCTATAGTTGTCCCCTAATAGAGGTAATGAATCGATTCTACTAGGACTATTCAAAATATATACACCGAAGAGCCATTATGACCACCCTCCATCTATAACAATGGGCTCGCCCAGGTTTTCATGGTTTCTCACCCAGGAACAATGTTTTTATGGGTCACATTAGGATCCATAATCCTCATAGAACAATCCCTGACGTCTGTAAGCTACTTGAACATAGTTGCAGACCAGGTTCACTCATTTATGGCAACAGTTTCACCTGCGGAGGATGGTGTTTACCAACAGGATATTGCACCATGTCATAAGGGTCAAATCGTCATGCATTGGTTCGAGGAACATTCCAGTGACTTTCAAGTCATGTCTTGGCCCCCAAATTCACCCGACCTTAATCCAA